CGCGTGTGTGTCACACCGCTGCTTTTAGCTAACAGTTCTTTGCGAAATTACACCCGAGTCTTCGGATACACGTGAGCGTGAGAGAAAAACGAGACAATTGCGAAATAAATCCCGAGAATTGAGAAAACTAACGCAAGGTATACCGGTAACGTATGAAATAATAAAGATTAGCGCAAATGTGTGACTGTTCGAGAGGAGGTTACGTAATTAGGCGGTGGAAATCGAGGCAGCTGGCGTAGCAAAGAATACGCTGTATATATATATATCTGATTAATTGTAATTCACGATTAGACATATACACGCACACACACATGCATGATTCCGTAAAACACTCGCCTCTAAAATTATCCGAGTGAGAGAGAGAGAGAGAGAGAAAGAAAGAACAGAGAAACTAAAAAGTAAGTAAAAAATTCAGATAATGAGATATCTGGAAAAACTGGGACGGGAGAAACGAGACGCGTAATAATTTTTATGCGCGTTAGAAATTAGCGTGATGGAAGGTCCGAGAGAAGGGTCTCTCTTATACGGAAATATCATCATGTATCATTCATTACTGTCGCTTCTTTAGACGCTCGTGGATGCATGTATGCGTTGGCTACGGAATTCGTTCGGACTTTACAGTGCATCCCGGCAATTCGATTGGTTGGTCGCCGACCAAGAATTACATTTACATGATTTCCCGACGACGAACGTGCGCGTCTTATAGCGCAGAGCGTCTCTTTTCTCCGTCGGTACCAACGACGCGGCAGGAATGCGGGAATACGCCCACGAAATATCTACCTGCACACGATTCGGCTCCCCGTTGGCCTCGTGAGTCATCGGTCCGTCGCACGGTTCGTTAAATATCCCGACAGACACCTTGTCACGCATTTTTGCCGCATTAATTGCGCCGTCTCGAGAGATCACGCGCGTCCGCCGCGGAAAACCGCCGGAGAAAACACACGCCAATTTTCCGTTTCTCGGAGGCAGCAGCGACGACAATAATTCACGTAATTACCAAACTTACATGCCGCTATAATTAATGGTAGCACACTTCCATATTTATCAGCGACGTGAATTATCGCTCATTATCCACGGATGGATGCAGTGTGCGAAAACAAATTTTATAGTGTAGGTTTTGAATTTTTTCAATCATTAAAAAAATAGTTATTTGCAAGAACACATGTAATAGTTTCCATAAGACTATCACATATTTCGGTAGGGTAGTGTTGCCGATTTGTATATATGCATATAAATCTGAATTTTACACTTCCAACCGGGCTTTAAAGCCTAAAAACAAAACGCTGTATCAGATACAGTGCTTTTCCCCTTATCAACCGTGACTCTCGAAAAATAGATTTAAAACGATCGTTCACGAACATGTGTGCGTGTGTATATGTGTGTGAGATTGCGAAACCCACCGTCCTCGATTCGAAGCGAGGAGGAGCGACGTTCCCTAAAGCGCAGCCGTCAGATCGCTCGCCGATCGCGTCGCGTGTCACCGCACTTACTTAATTTAACGCACACCCGACGCGACGTATCCTTTTTCGGCCGACACACTCGGCGAGAGCCGCCTCTGCTACCTCCCGTCGCGCGAACGCACCTAAAACGCCCGAAGGTACAGCTCGCGAGCTCCTCTTGGCCAACAACAGAGGCTTCGCACCGGATGTTTCCGCAATGATATCCAAGAAGCCGTGTCGCTGCGCACAAACGGCACCACCGTTCACACTTATATTTCCGATTTCACTGCCTTCTATCCCTTTCTCTCTATCAAGGTGTACCAACCGGACCTCCGAAAAAGAAGTGTTTCATTGGTCACGCAATCGTGAAGGCAGATCGTCACGCAGTCGATGAATTCAGGTTTCTCGCGACGGTTAAATCCGGGAGAGTCTACATTCCGTCAACGCTTGGATCTGCCGATTGATTCGATTGAGAGAGGAAAATGATTTTCCACTGCCGGTCGGGGGAGCGTCGGGAAGCCGCGAATGACGCGAGGAGGACTCGAAGAGGAAACTCTCACCGATCGGCGCACACACGTCGCCGTCGCGACCGATCGCACCTGGCGAGCGGACGAGCAACAGCGGCGGCCGCCATCGGGCTGCCTTTTTTCTCCACGACCGCACGCAAGCACCAAGCTTTCCGCCAGCTTTTTCGCGGTCCGATGCGCGAGATTATGCGGGAGAACGCGACACCTGCGCGATCGTGTATAACGCGCGCACCACTCTCTCTCTCTCGTACCGCATAAGGGCGAAACCGACACGACACTGGATGAGAACGGGCAACAGGTTCGTCGGCTTGCCCCGAAGGAACGCGACGACGGTAAGGGGAGAGCGAGAAAGAAAACGATGGACGGACGGGGAGGAGAGGGGAAGGCGAACGGCCAGCCAGGTAAGCCAGGTAAGCCGCCATTGCTCCTGACGCAGCATCCAGCCCGACAGTGGCGTAATTAACGGGCCTCGTGGGGGCCCCCCGTTAATCTCTCTCTCTCGCGAACGACGAAAACGAAACGAGGAAGCAGCCGGAGGGCGCTAATGACTTTTTTCGCGTGATATTTCCGGATCCGCGCTTCGCGTAAACCGCCGAGGCTTCGCGAGCGAGAATTATTCTCCCGTAATCGTCGCTAACCGTGGACTAAGCATGCATCTCTTTATAACGTAGAAACGAGGAATTTCATTTTCAGTTCCTACTTGGAATCTCCTCCCTTTGAAGAAGTATGAAAATAATTGTCTAGTGAAGATATAAACATAACGAACGCGTGATGTTGTTTTTCGCAACAATTGGAGATGATTTCTTACGATTTATAAAATACAAATATGATATAATGTGTGTATGGTACATTCGACGTCCTAAGTCGGAGACTTGTCTTCTGTTAAAGCAAGATCTACTTTGAACCGAGAAAACGAGGCGCGATACTCCATTCCCTTCCTCACGGGAACTTTCCATTTTTCACGACCGACGGTTCGAGACAGTCTCGCCGTCGTCGTCGTTTCTCAATCTCCCCCAGATAAAAATCAAGCCGGGACTTCACACGGACTACCAAAAAGGTAGCGAGCCCTCCGGTACCAAGCGACACAGGCGCGGGCGCGATCAATCGTTCTCCTCGTCACCGTCCGGTGTGGCACCTGCGATAGGAAGTGCCGGTTACACCACTGCGGCAACAGGTTGTTGCCAATGAGAGAGCTGTCATGAATGAGCGAGCGAGCGAGCGAGCTCGTTTCGTGGCAGCACGACCTGCGCCGCGTTAAAAGCCAGAAACGAGAGTGCGATCTTTCGTTGCCGGACACCCGGCCGGCCGTCGTAATCCGCGGCCGCTCAATAAATATGTAAAATCGCGCCCGCATTCGAGTCACGCGCGTATTCCGCGCGGTGGGTGGCTTATCGGCGAGCGGCGAAACGATTCTCACGATCCGCTTCACGAAGCGCGATTGCGAAAGCGCGACGTGAAGCGCACGCGGGAGTCGGGAAGGATGTCGTTCTGAAAATTCCGACTGAAAAAGAGACCATTGCGTCACCGGGGGGGGATCCCTCGATTGGTTAACAAAGGTAACGTCCGCGTTTATTTCGAGACGCTCGGCGTGTGCACGAGCGAGATCGCGTGCCGAGATCCAGCGGGAAGATATGTAATAACGATATTTTCGAATTCGTTATTGCCCCCCGGATAAAATCACCGATAACAGAATAATAATGGAGGAAACGTAGCCGGGGATTGCATCGCGTGAGTGCATCGCGGGGTGCACGCAGTGCAATTTTATCGTTTCCGATAACAGAACGTATTTCCACGATGGAGACGTGATATCGTCATACGCAGGGGAAAGAAGGATAAGATAACGAATTGTGTGAGATGAAAACGGGATTCGAAATTGTTTATAAACTCTTCAATTCACGNGGGGGGGGGGGGGGGGGGGAATTGATCATTATTTTTAACGCCGTTACGAAGATGAGAAAAAAAATCGACAAATCTCGAGGTCGTTATCTTACCCTCCTTTCTCGTCCATATCCATCTATCCGTCCGTAAAGCCATTCTCCGAGGACACTCGGAGCTACCGAGGATCGTCCCCTCGCGTATTTCTCTCGCGAGCGAGAAAACGGATTGGCAGTCGGAAGAGATAAGAACGAGAGGAGAGCAGGTAGAGCGAGTCGGAGGGACGCGACTGTAAGAGCCAGCTGCGATAGCAGTGTATGTACGGTAATTGCCGTCCATCGCAGCCGTGACGGAAGATTGAGAAACGCGAGCTCGCGAAACCCCAGCATTCGTCCTGTCGCGCGCACAACGCGAACAAAAAGTGGCTATTTGCAAAAGGGACGTCGCTTCTTCGCGAGGCATCGCTTCGGAAAACGAAAATAAATCAAACAATTTGCAGGCATTCCGTTCGCGAAAGCGAGCAACCTCGCCGAGAACCGAAGGAACACGCCTTATCCCGAAAGGAATTCGAAGTCTATTTTACCGAGTGTTGGCTCGGCTACTAACCGGGCTGGAAAGTTAACCGCGGAGAACGTGCGACAGAGAGAAAAGGTTAAAGACAAGATGCCGGAATTGAAAGAATACCCCGGAGAGATATCTCCGACTGATCAAACGTAAATCTTCGCGAGCATTCGCATACTGAGAAATTATACGTACCGTGTACCTCCGATAATCGATATTTCGTATCAATTTGCTCTTAATCGATGTTGACAATTCCCCGGCGGTCTTCTCGCTTATCGCCAGACTTATTGCTCCTGACATCCGCTCGATATCGAAGCGGTGCGATCGGGCATTGTCGGTATTCAAACGGTACTTTCAGCGAATCCAAAGTCCGAAACCTACGAACAACGAGTGAGTCATCTCTCCGCATTTATCTCCGTATCGATAAAAACGGCGGCAATCAGCGCGAGATAAACTTCAGCGCGGCGTTATCACGGCGAATGTCGAACAATTTTGATCCGCGACTGAGCGAAAAAAGAGAAATTCAGCGAATGAAAAAGGAGAATCCTCTCGGTCGGTCTGCTCGCGCGCGCTCGTACGTCGTTCCGCCGCCAGGTGGCGCCAGCTGATGCGCTGATTGTTTTCCCTCGCGCGCAGAACATAGCTGTCAAAGTTGCGCGTGGCGGTTTCTCGTCGTCGCGGCGATAAGCGCATGGGTGTGTGTGTGCGTGCGAAATGCAGTGTGCAGCGTAACACGATGCCCCGCGCGACGATTGCTCGGGGATAACCTCCCGCTGCCAGATCGGCGAAAGGAAGACGCTCGGTCGTCTCGCCACGTCGTAGAACCAGCCGGAACCGCGGGCATGGCGTGCCTCCTGCTGAATCAGGAAAATGTGCATCTGAAGATACCGTCGGTCGACACGGTCGACGGGGTGACGTACTACCGCATCGAGGTTAAGATCGCGTCGATCAAATGGACCGTGAAGCACAGGTAACGCGCGATTTCTCTCTGCCACCGCCGCGAAAGGAGCGAGTTCGCGCGCGCGAGACGCTCCCCACTTAATTGCATTCGGTCTGTTCTTTTCTTCAGCTGGACACCGCGCTGCGCTAGTTTCAGAAATTTACATGCACACCGAAGCGTACGATTCTCGCGCTCGAATGTACGCGAGTTTCCTCGACAGCCGGTTCGGCTGAAAGGAACAGACCGATTGCTCACTGTCGGCCGGTGAGACGAGAAGAATATATTCACGATTTCTCCTTCCCCTTCTTTTGTTTTCGAGGTACAACGAGTTCGCAGAGCTGCACGAGAAGCTCGTGTCCGAGCACTGCGTCGAGAAGGACATCCTACCTCCGAAGAAGCTCATCGGTAACAAGTGCGAAGCTTTCGTGGAGAAACGTAGGCTGAGCCTCGAGACATACATCAATGCCGTTTACAACTACCTGAAGAAGGCGATGCCGAGGGAACTGGCCGTATTCCTGGACTTACATGTGTACGACATATACTTCCTGCTGCAGAGCATGGCCTTGGAATTTTTCACCCGAGGCGTCGCTCTCTTGCAAACCTCTACGAGCTACAAGTTTAATCCTATACAAGTAATAGAACTCGTTTCCATCTCGTTGGCAGCATGTGAAAGCAACGTTTGCTTTTCAGCTGTACGCGATCAGCGAAAGATTGAAGCAGCCGTGCTCGTCCGTGGAGGTCGTGGACAAAAAGTACGACTTCAGCCACGTCCTGGACTTCAACTCCCACTTGACCAGCCTCACGATCGAGGGAAGTCCGGAGCCTTACAAAACCAGCAATATCTATTCGTCCGCGTTGTCCATCGAACTGTCCACCTTCAAGAACGTGCAGAACTTAACGATCGATCAGTACCCCGTGGACAAGATCTACAACATGGGCAATCTTCGGGACACTGTCAGCGTGCTGAAGGTCACGCACACCAAGCTCCGAAACATCGTGGAGCTGGCGATGTGCGAGGAGGTGCACAAGAACATTGAAAATGCGAACGACTCTCACGTGTGGCTGAAGGTGATGCACCTGGATCTCAGTGACAATCGCATCGAGATGATCGACGAGGCGATCAAGCTGTTGCCGCACATCGAGTGCCTGACTCTCAGCAACAATCACCTGTCCGAGATCTCGAATGTCACCTTGCTGCCGCGACTGTCGCAGCTGTACCTCGCCTCGAACAACTTCACCAGCCTGCCGGACGATCTTCACACGAAGCTCGGTTACATCGTGTACATCGACCTGTCGCAGAACAAGCTGACGTCGCTCGCCAGCTTCTCCAAGCTCTACTCCTTGGAGGGGCTGGACGTCAGCTGCAACCGCATCGAGAAGATCGAGGAGGTGAAGAACATCGGTCATCTACCTTGCCTGGAGCACCTCAGGTTGACGGGCAACCCGGTGTCGACGATAGTGGACTACAGGGTCAAGGTATTGGAACCGTTCGGCAAGAGAGCCGCCGACATTTGTCTCGACAACGAAAAGCCGAATCAAAAGGAGCTCGACACCGTGTCGGTGCACCAGGCGTTGCGCATTGCTAGGGAAGGTAAATCGCCGACGTTCACCGCGTCCGACGCGCCGTTATTTTCCGCCGAGATCCCGAGCATATAGAAATTCCAATCCGAGTTGCTCCTCACTCCGCTCTCTTATCGCTCGAGCGGAGAGCTCGAGGGACGGCACGGGAGGTAAAGTCTTTTTATACAACGCGCGTACATTTTTATCACCTCACGAGACTGACCTTCCTTTCTCGCAGCAGAAACGTCCTATCGTATTTTTACTCGGTTCGACATGTGTGTATTCGTTGTGTTTGATGTATGCAAGCGGATAACAGATAGGCAACGTTTGGAGATGAAGCGCTATCTCATTGTCGTGCTTCTTACCGCCTCTTCTGAGAGACGAACGATTTTAACGGTATAAAGTATAAAAGTGAACAAAAAGGTAATCGCGCGTTGCTGTCGCTCTACAAATCGGCGAGTGGAATCGAAAAGAGGCGCGCTTCTTTCTCCAGCGGGAATAAAATGTCACCAGGTCCATGACAAAGTCGCATCGAGAACAATTCGCGTGCAATTCGTACGAATTCATGGGATTTCTACCGGTTTTATACGTGCAAATGTACATATCGGCACACGCGACGCGTTACGCGATTCCCGTCTATTGTCTATAACCTAAACGACAACAATAAACGGAGACTCGCTTTGCTATTGTTATTTAATATACAATATATATACATATATTCACGATTATCGAGATTTTGTCGAGATGCTCTTACCAAAAGTTGGCGGCATGAGCCAGCCGCGCGCAGCCGTACGATTTTATTTATTCCGAGATAATTTTTAAGATTGTTTTATTTCCAAGTGCAACACGCAAAAATCCGTGGAGGTATCGATTTTATAATTTAACGTAAAGGATTGATCTGTATATAAGAAAGGATGTATTTTGTTAATAAAGACGAATAAACCAGCAGTCTGTGATAACGTGTGCGCTCTCTCACCGATATATTCAGTGAAACGTGACATTATCATTATCATTATCACTGATCGACGGTAGCAAAAAAAAGAAAAAAAAGCTACACATCTCTCGCCAAAGTCGTATATGATGAGTCATCGCTCATTCGGTACATCCGGGAGAGGAAACGATTCATTCGTGTGTCTCGTCGGAGAGGGAAATATGTGTGCGAGTTCGTTTATCGTTGACTTTTATTTAAACTTCCATGTATTCGCATTACCTTTAAATATTATGCGCATCTCGAAAATATTAAAATATTCATAAATAATATCAATATATAATGCTTACATATATACTAAGCATCGTGTTATAGTCTTTTTAACGTATGCCTAAACTAACACATACATAAGTTAACCATTACAAACGATCGCGCCTTTCCGATTGGTTTGCAATAGTTGGACTCGTTGGTGCGCGGTGCACAAGTAAGCGATACAGCTCACAGCTTCTCGAGAGAGAGAGAGAGAGAAAGAGAGAAAAAAAGACAGAGAAAAAGGCCTAACTAAAAAAAATATATATATATGTCATTCTCAAAGGCAATGCACATTTCCGAAAAAAAAAAAAGTTACTAGTCTACGAGGGAAATCCGAAACATCTTGTGTATCAAAGGAATAAAACCGCTCGTATGAAAAAGGAAAACGTTTTTATCAAACATGTGTGAATTTTTCACACTTTTATATATAGCACTTCAACACTAATTTAAATACGTTTGATTTGCTCTTTTTCTTCTTCAATTAGCGAAATTCAATCGATATTTCGTCTCGCGCGCGCACCATGCCCCCCTCGGCGCAGTAGCTTTTATCTTCTCGCCATATATATATTTATATATATATAGTTAAAATTGGTCAAACAATTTTCTCGCATGGACAAATCGACTCGCGTGCGTGTGTGTGAGCACGTTTCTTTTCTTTTCTTCAAATCGCTATGAAGGATTACTAGAAGAAGGACGTGGGACTTACTGTGTGTGAGTTGGTTAGTCGAAGGAAAAGTCCGGATTTGGTGAATGGTGGTCGGAACGGGAGGAATATTTTTCTCGAGGCGGGAAATCCGATGAGTCGATTCTCCGCGACTCGTCTGGAGTTTACTGGTGCGCGATCGGAATTAGCTTCTCGCCGGAGCCGATCGCCGGTAAAGGCGCCTCCACGGTAAGGACGCCGTCCTTGCTCAAGGAAGACTTGATGCTCTCGGGATTGGTTCCCTTCGGCAACAGGAATTCCCGATTGTATTCTCTGTACACCGATTTGCTCTCCGTCTTCTCCTCGTGTTTAGCGTGGACCTGAAACGAAAATGCCGTCGTGTTATTTGAGTCGCGAGATATCCCGACTTTTACGATACGCTGTAACGTCGTAAACCGTGGCGAGCGTCGAGATCAATTCGACGGCGTGTATACACGAGATTATTAAGGCGCTCCTGCAATCATCTTGTTTGATGACGTCAGAAGCAAGGAAACACGCGTCCGAAATTCATGCGAAATGCATTGTATTCAAAAATGCAAAGTCCACAAAGTGACACTTGCGATCGATTGAGCATGTTTGTGAAATATCCCGAGAACTTTCCTCTTTTACCCCAACAATCAATAAATAATCATGAAGTTAACGTGACATGCAACCTCCCTTTTCAGTCTGTTCTTTTTCGTCACGTTAATTTTACACGGCTCTTTATTGAGATTATTCAAGTAAAAGGAAAGTTCTCGGAACGTTTGACAAATGTGCTCGATGGATCAAAAGTATCATTTTACGAATTCATATCTTACGTATCCTTCTACTTCGACGTATTCCGCGAGAATTTTCGGCGTGCGTTTCCTCACTTCTGACGTCATTAATCAAGATAGCCGCGACGAGGAAACGGGAGCCCCAAGAATCGTTCCAAAGATTAAAGAAGCACGAAGAAGATCTTTATCAGCATTAAAATGGATCTAGGATCAATCTCCGAATTTTCCAAGTCGATTTCCCGGCACGCACGAGACGTCGCGCTGCCCGTACGCGCGATTCATTCACGATACGCTCGCGTACAACACGTGCCCGTCGACGTGAATTTACAAGCTCTCGTTTGCATTGGCCTCGCGTGCGGTAAAGGGCGTCGCAATTGATTTATCATCACGAATGGCGCCGTCGAAGCAATATAACGGTCCCTCCATTTCGACCCTATTTTCTCGAAGAAAAGTCGTAACCGTACGTAACATTCTCCCTCGCGAGAAACTCGGAGGACTCGAGGCGGAATTACAGCCGTATGCCACGGTGAAATTCTCGGGACAAGATAAGCATGAAACGCTCGAAGAACGTCCTTCCTCGCGTGTGACGCTCTCAGGGACAATTCCCCTCGGCGATGTAAAAAAGATATAGGGCGAATCTGCGCGACCGGAGTAAAATAGCGACCGTAATACTGACCGTATTACTCATTCGTTCGATCGACGTGAGTCACCGCCCGCTCCGTTTGACCATGCGTAGGTTTCATCTCCTTAGTAGACACGTAGGTTAGTATAACGTGTCAGACATCGATCTCATTTTTCCCACGCACGCGAATAACACGCGCATTGTGTCGCGACACACGGGATGATATCGATTGCATCTTCGCGAAGAACTTGGGAAGAGAGCGTATTCGGGGATTTGCAGAATAGATCGACGAAAATTATAGGAGCAAATTTACAAAACTCACTGCGCAGCACACGTCTTCAAACGTTTCGTTCAGCCGCACTGCCTCGTTGCGAGATTAAGTCAACAGTACGAATAACACGCTCGTGATTTCGTAGCCGTCGAGACGAGGCGGAAAAAACGAAACGAGGATTCCCCCGTGAAAGAAACGTTGTTCTCTACGACGAAAGTGGGTTACGAGAGCCGTACAGATAGATATTACGAAGGGAGACGTCTCGAGTATTACGCGAGATCCTAGCCGAGTAATAAAGGGGTGAGAACACGCGGCAGGGGGAGCGAAGGAAGAGAGGGTGAAAATGGCGGCGGCGTCATCGCTTCTACCTTTTACCTTCTACGTCGCATCGAATCGATATCTTAGAGGCGCTTCCTCGCCATACCTCTTCCTCGACCTCGTTTTCTTGCACGAGGATAAAAATGCTGCTTTTTCGTGTCTTCTATGAATCTCGACGAGGAAGTTGATTTTTCGGGTGGAAGAAACGTTGTGTTTTCAGCTCCGCGTGCCCTTCGCAACAAGATCCTATCGGGCAAGACCGCTTTCCCGTTTGACTCAGCCCACGATCGATGGGAATTTACATTTTATCGGAGCAAAGCGATCGCCGTGTGTGACGTGCGCGGACTTTTATATACCCCCACGTGTCCCAAATTCTTGATACGTAACTTGCTCGCGTGACGCATTACGCTCATTACGATTCATTCCTTGTCGTTGTCGTGGAACAGTTTCACCTAGATCGCATCGACGAGAAGAAAAGCGGCCCTATGGAATAAATATGAGCGCGACTATCTATCGTCGACGTCGCGAGATCGTTCGCCTCAGACTTCTCTTCCCGGTAACAAGCTGATCGGTTGAAACTAAATTTCCGCTGGAAACTGGTTTTCAAGTTACGCGTACGCGCGGTGGTGTGCAAATATTATCGCGGATAACACCGACGTTACGACGAGGCTGGTTACATCACGTTAACGGCGAGTACGATCAGCGACGTATTTAGAAAACGCGGAGTTTCGCGCGACAGTCGTGAGAGCGACTCGCCTTGAAGAAGGCGAATATGCGACGTTGACTCACACTATCAAATAACAAACTAGTATCTTTGTGACCTGTTCGGACAATATGCACGATCAGCAAGAGCTGACACGTAAATATTTTCCGCAACGCGGATTTGTATCATTTACGATCGGCGTTTAAAAGGAGAATTAATTTGGGGAAAAGGTCCGAATAGAAATTTTCCGATTCAATTTCTACCGTATCTATCTGCGCGATCAAAAACGCGTTCCTCGTCAAACGAGTGTCGCGACATTACGAGATACAATCGCGCACGAAGCCGTCGTTCACGATCGACGGCGAGCCACGTGACTTCGCTCGCGCCCTTCGTCGCTTAATCGCGATGATATTTCGAAGCGGAGCGTGTCTAGATGGATTTGCCGCGCGTGAAAAATGCAGGTGCGATATATAATGTGGCCGCGCCCACACGAGCAAACACATCAAAGGCGTCGTGTCGCGAACGGTAGGCGAGGCCTGCCGTGTGCTAATTGCATTACGTAAAAGCTGCTAATGACTTAAACTCGTTCGCTTTGATTCTCGCGAGCGCCCCCGTCACGTTCGCATTGCCGAGGAAAAGCCGCTCGCCCCAGCTAGAACTATCCGTCGTCGTCGTCGTCCGCGACACGTGCCAACGAACGACGAAATAAACCGACCTTAACCTTGTGTTACGTGAAAAATTAGGCTGACTCGTGATGCTTAACCATTCTTGTACCGGTGTATCGTGTCTTTTTCGTTTTCCTTCTCATTGTTTACCGCTCGCAAGCCCGGTTTTATTCAATTTCAAGGCGCGATATCGCCATGCATTATTTTCAAGTATTAATTCCTTGGCAGTTCTCTCTCTAGTCGGCGGCTCGTCGGCTCGGAAGAAAAATAGGTAATTACGTTTCTTTCATTGTAATACCGTTTTCTCTGTATATATATTTCGATGCTGACTCGGGGAAAAAAGGCGGTAATCGATTGGCTCTGTCCGCCTCGGAATAAATAATCCCCCAAGGAAGAAGAGTTAATTTAAACGCGAATCGATATCCGAGCACCGGTATTTCTTTTCCCGACGAGTCGGCCAAATGGATTTCGTCGTCGCGGTGGTCATCCGCTAACGCGATTCTTCTGTCGCTACGCTCCTCGGGATATCGATCCTGTCGACCGTAAAAGACCAAAGCCACCAGGGTGAAGAAAAAGCGCGGCACGGGTAACCCTAGAACTCGCGTATTAGCGAGAGAGGGGGTGCTAGAAAACGAGAAAGGAAGAGGAGAGAGAGAGAGGGTAGCGAAAAGAAGAGATGCCGAGAACGCGAACGAACTACGGTAACCCAACTCTTTGCAGGATCTAAGTTTTCCTGGCGAATATCGTCTTACGGGAGACGAGCGTTACGCAATCCTACCAGCTGTAACCACTGATCATTGAAGCGGCCGATCTGCCAAACATCAGCACTCCCGATTTGCACGAGAGACATCCGTCGGCGAAATCTGGGTTACCGTGCGAATAACGATATGATCGTCCCACCGATATAATCGACTTTCCGATATTTGAAAAGCTTGAGCTCTTGAGTATGCGCATATCGTTTCCACAAGCTTTCTGCACGCACAAATATTATGATACGTGTATTACATTTATAGGCGACTTGTGAAGCGTACGATACTTTTACGGCACGCAATTATGGTTGATTCTCCGATGGAGATCTCGTCGATTCGTCGAGAGACTTTTATAACGAGATGCTCTCAACATCAGCATCTTTTGATAGCCACAATCCGAAATCCGGCGCCGCGATTGTCGAAAATAACGTAAGGCACCGGCAGCTCTGACTCACGAGCTAAATATAACCGCGAATTTTGACGTTCTTACTTCCACTTTTGCCTTCGCGCGAATGGCCGTAAAACGGAGTCGGAAGCTCTTACAAGTTGATTAAAACGCTCGTGTAATTCGAGATGAGCTCTCGAGATGTCTGGAACGGAATATTCCTTCGTGTAGAAAAGAAAAGGGCGAGAGGGAGAAAGAGAGAGCGAAGGGAAAATTTGTACCGAATCCGGTACAAACGCGAAGCTCGACGGGCACGCGATATACACAGAGCTGAAGTGAAAGACGTATGTAAAAAATAAATTGTTAACGGAAGATAATTTATTTGGTCAGTGTAAAAGAAAGAGTAAGTGAACGAAATTATTAAGTAAGAAAAACAGACTGAAACGAACATATATGTACATTAACCACGAAAATTAAATATAAAATAAAATACTAAAAATAAGAGAGAAATAATAATAATAAAATAAACAAATAAAAAGATAATGAAGTAATAATAAATTTAAAAAATAAAATAAAATCTTTTTTTTTTCGGCGACCAGCCATCGGAAAAAAATTTGAAGTTATGCCTTAAATAAAAAAAAGAATCGATCTTGAATTTTTCGTAAAAATCTCTATATATGAATCTATTGATCAATCTAACGCTTTCTGCCACGGATGCTTTGATAAACCTCGAAATCGTCCGGAATGAAATTCAAGCAGATATTCTCTATCATTTCCCGCAGCTGTTCAAATCGCTGACGTTAAATACATCCGCGATTGAGCCGTCTATTAAAGATCGCTATTGAAGCACACTCAACAACCCGACTGACGTAAACTCGCGTGTATTACGGTGAGAGCGACGAAAAAGGAGGCGAAGGTGTTACACCTTCCCTCGTTGCTTCTGCGATGACGTCACGTAAAACTCACGGGACCGCGCGCTGCTCTCGGCCCGCCGTCTTATCGACGACGTCCCATTCCCAAGCCCCGGATCGCTCGTCCTTCGGAGGAGTCGTCCTTGGTCGAGCCCTTTAAGGTTTGCTCACGGTGCGTGGCCGACCTGAATTCGCCAGACCCTGACCACGATATAAGGCAAGCAGTCGCGAGTTCTTTGTGCCGTCAGGTTCCGTCCGGCGAATCCGTTTATGGAAGACTGCTCTCGTTCCCCTCCGAATGATTTCGGAGAGAGGAGAGAGACGGAGAAAAGGAGACGCGCCTCGGAGACGAAAATAAACGACCGGTGCGCGCACAGTTTTACCGAACGAAATCGACGGATCGCGGTCGAACGCACGGAGCGAAAGGAACGAGACCCGATCGAGCGTTGAAAATTGGGTTGCGCACGTGGCGGCGACACGAATCTTCCAGAGTATAGCGGGGAATAGGAGAGGATAGTGGCATTTATCCGAGAACTACGCGTTAATATGCTCCGACGACCTCCTTCGAGACAGGAGGGGGAGGAGGAAGTGTAAGACGAGCTGCGACGAACGCAAATGGAAACGAATCGGCCACGAAAACGGGAACGCACCGCGCTTAAGTTCGAACGATCTTAAGCGCGGATCCCGTGCGGGATGTTTGAACGCTCGCGTGTACTTCCACCGAACAATAACAAGAGGAACACTTGGAAAAATAACGGCAATATCTTGATCGAAAAGTCAATAAGTAGAGGAGGGATCAGTCGAGACAACTCGAATCGAGTCGAACGAACTCGATTTGAATTTTTATCGTCTTTTTACTCAATTCTTTTCAGTGCATTATATAGTGAGGAATCTTTCGTCCTTCCGCAAATTTCGTTAAAATCCGATCGGACGTTAAATAATAATCGCGAAGTGAAGAGCCAAGATCGTCGCCGGATCGAAAACTGGCTTCCACGACACGAAGAAATCGGAGATCGGAGGAGCGTTACTTTTGGAACACTCTGTGCGCGCATGGTATGCGAGATACGCCGGCCTCATGGTGTCAGTCATGGTTTTTAAGGGGCCGTGAAATTGTACGGGTATGAAGGAGAGATACACTCGGCCGACCGTTTATCGAATAAATCAGAATAATACCGGGCTTGTTCCGTCGACGGATCTCCTCGTCGTGATGATCTTCCTTTCATCGCGATGAATGAGAGTACGATGGTACAACGACCTCGCCATCCGAGCGTGCATAACGGTAGAAGGAATTTTTGCAATGCCCCCCCCCCCCTCGCGACTGAGAGAACATCTCCTGCCCCCCTCTCTCTTTCTCTCCTTCCCGCCTCGCTCTTTCCACTCTATTATATTTTCTACTAAAATAAATAGACGTAAAATAATGAATCGTGATTATTATCCGTTGTTACAAAATCAGTAGGCAGGATATCATGCATCAACGTAATGATCGCCGTCAGGTGTAATTACACTCGCCGCTTCCCCGCCATTTAAACCGAAGCGATTGCTTTATTTTCGTAGAAAACCTCACGCATTCGCGATATAGAATCGCCAGGGGAGATTAATTATTTCCCGACTGTAATCGAAAATCCGCGCGTCTAAAAGACGTGCGAATTCCATTAGTCGCAAAACAGCCTTACGACCCGCAACGTGGTCTGCGCGTGTCCAATTTCTCAATTGAATTCCGTCGTCTCCGTTGCTATTGTTGAACTCGCGATTACGCAAAATATGATGTCCTTCTGTGTAATTCATAAGCGTAATCACGTCGAGCTGCGTTTCGCCTCGTTCACAATGGCCGAACATTATTCCGGTCCGCCGGTATGACGACTGGCGTGAACTTATTTTCGGCGCCGGCTATTTCCGTCCAGGTCGGCGCGAACGTTAGAGAAGGAGCTCGAAGACGCGCGTAGAAACTCCTCGAGGAATTCTGGCTCCGACTACTCGCGTGAAACTCTAGTTTTCATAATGGAGAGACCCGTATGGCCGACGTGGGTTTTCATAAAATCAGCAAATTTATTTGACCGCGTCTCGAGGTGAAATAAAATTACGTTTTTACGTCTCTGAGATAAAAAAAAACCCGATCGAAACCGCGAAATTCGTAACGAGCCTCCGGCTGAAATTCGGTCAGTGTACTCGACGATGCCGACTTCCGACAGGAAGTGACGTAACGCGGGAGCAATTACAACGTTCTACATAGCTCGTAAAGATTCGCAAGTACCGCCGAAGCACCGTGCATTTCTCGTCGCAATCGCTTCCTGTACGTTTTCGCTGGCTGTATTCTCAAATGCAAATTTCTCTCGATGGGGGAGGGAGCAGGGGGAGGGGTGTTACGGTTCACGATAATATCTTCAAGCCTGACTCGCGTATCTACTTGAGAATCTCGAGCTCAAGTCTCGATTTAACGTGCAAGATGTATCGTAATAAATGAAAAAAACGGCAATGAACGACTCGTGTTCATCGGCGAACAGGTTTGTACGCGAGAGGATTGAAAAAAAATCGGGATTTAATTTTCGCAAAAAGTTTAACGGCGAAGCACGGCTGCGATTCGAACAATTAGTTAATACGCTGCCGCTTACGACGGCGTATTATGTAGGCAACTTTGTGCTGCGCCAATCCTCGCCAATTGCGCAAAAAGCTGAGCCAGATTTGCATCTTGCCAAGTTGTGCAAGAGACCGTCCCGACGTATCGTGAGTGGTGATGAGTCAAGCGTAATAATTTCGGGTTGCCGAGTACGCGCGTTCTCTGCGCTCGCGAGGAGCGCCGAGCGAGGCGATAAATTGAAAGACTCGGCAGTGCTCTGAATAATTCACTGTGATCATGTGTGGCGCAAGCCAATCAATTATCACGCGAAGAAAACACGTTTGCACGTAGACATCGGTTACTGATGATCGCGTGCGAGCACCTCCATAACATTTTTATTTATAATGGAATTGTAAATTTATCACACGCATTGAATCTTCAACCGAGCGTGCGATCCTCGTTAACGCAAAACGGACATTTATGACTGATTAAGTACATTTGTAAAATTTCCCTTTTGCTTTCATATAATTGATAAATAACTGCAAAGTTATAAGACACGCATTTCCTATTCTCTCGTAATTTTGTCACATTAATTTTATGGCTACTTATTGCTCGTTAAAATAAAAGGTAAGTTATCAGAATATTTTACAGGCATGCTCGATGGATCGCAAGTGTCACTTTATGGGCACATCTTTTCATTTCGACATCTCGCTACTGACGTTATTGATCAAGACGGTTGCGGCGAGGGAACAAGAAGAGCCTTGACTACCGTAGTACTTGAGCTACTGGAGTTAAGCAGTTTTAGCAGCGGAAATATTTCACTCACCAGTAGCTTGTTGTCCACGGTCTTCACGACGATCTCCTCAGGCGTGTACTGCGAAACGTCAAAGCGCAGCTTCAACATCTTGCTGTCGCCCTCGTCTTGAATGAGGGGGCTGTTGAGGCCGTCCAGCCAAGTATGAGCGTCATGTTGAGGACTCAGGGAACTGCTGTTCTGAGTGGTCTGTTGCGTGGTGGTGCTGTAAATTGAAAATGAAATTCCGGTTATCGCGGACGGTAGTTGCTCATTCGCGCGCGCGCGCGCGCGCGCACGATAAGATCGAAATGAACGGAGCGAGAGACGTCGAGCACATTGATAACGGTGTGATGAGCGGCGCACGTTGTGAGCTGTGACAATAGACGTGAAACCTGCCGGCTACGCTACGCCAAGTGCGACACTCAAGCCTTACCTACGGTGACCACAATGCGACGGACAGGAAGTAAATACACGCACAAACCGACATTGATTGAAAATCGTGCACTAAACAAACGTTAACACCGTGAAGGCCGGCGACGCGTTGAAATAACTAAGCCGCAGATGTTCTACGCGGTTGCCGTGAAAACATCGTGCCGCTAGAACCACGAAATTGTGAGATCACAATAATACACTGAGAAAGAAAAATATCTAAAAAAAATAGAAAATACTTATTCGGGAGGTATTAATGATATATTTATTTAAATCTAAATTTCTTTATTTAAACAAAATAAAATAAACAATTGCTTTCACAGACAGCTATAGATTTAAGAGAATATATATCTTTTTCATTTAAAAATAAATTTTTCTCAAAGTAAAAAAATATATATATTGGTATAACTAAATATATTATTAGTACTCCCATCGAATAAATATTTTTTATTTTTTATATATTTCTTCTCTCAGTGTAAGCAGAAGCAATAAAAGCGCACGGTTTTATCGTAGTGACCAAAAAATACGCATATCATGACATATGGGTATCATTCGTATCTGAACAAATTTTAGTTCGCGATTAAAATACTCGCCTAAGCCTTTCTGGCGTTAACTCGAGCAGGTTAAAAGTGTTACCTCGTCCACTACACGCAAACATTGATCTATCCTTCTAAATTCCTTGTAATGAAATTTCACTTAAACTTGCTCTTACAAGAAATTCCGTATAATTCGACTAAAAATATATTCATGTTATTCAAGATTAATTTTCATGAATTGAGAGGAAAACATATTAGATAAACAGAACGATATCTTTAAACTAAGAATTATATCGGTTTGAAGATTCTTTCTTTCTATTTACTATTTTTTTCCTTTCAATTCTAACATACTATAAATTTTGCAAAATTGTCATAAAAATAATTCTAAAATAATAACAACATAATAATATAGAACTTCTTCACGTAAGAGTAAGTTTTATCTTTTTATTCTTGCTTATATATGACAATAAGAATCTTGAATTAATATTAATTTCGATTTATATATATGAGCGTACTTTCGTTTCATATATATGAGTAAATAACTCGAATTTAAGTGATTTGGTTGTCGAGTGGAATTTCGCTCGAAGAAATTTAGAGAATACGCGAAGACTCGCGAAGAACATAAAGTATGAATTGTGTGTCGGGAGAGCAACGGTGATCGTCGTTTCCGACGGGTGCGAGGTCACGACAGACGTGCAGACGTACGTACGTTCGTTCGTTGCACTCGCTTGAACGCAGTTACAACTACCCTTTACTCGATTAACCCTTCGTAGAAAGAGAAAGTGTTACATCACACGCGCTAAACGCTACACTTGATACACTATTCACCGCTAGCGCTTTACCCGCTTTGCGCACACTCGCGTGTCGTCTTATCAATTTAACAGACAAATTTAACGGGCACCGTTTGATTCATTAGCGTTCAAATAATCGGCGAGCCGATCCGGTTACGCAACTTTGTTCTCCGAGTTCATCCTACAAAGGGTTAAAAGCCACGACGAACTCGAGGAGGGTAAACAGCATAATGCGGGGACGAACACTCCAGCGGGGGGGGGGGGGGGAGAAAGAAATATCGAACTAAGTTCGCTAAAAGCGCTACTTCGGGTCGAAGCGTCGGCTGAGCTACTTGGTTCTCCGGCAAGCTTTTGCGAAATAGCGAACGTTACGAAATCGGGGAGAAGTGTGTGCGTGCCCCCCGTGACGACATTCTCCGATCCTATCGATCTTGTCGCCGTCAACATCGATCGATTCGTGGTTGACCTCGTGCTTTCCTACTTTCGTTTGATCTGTTTTTTTTTTTCTTTTGTTTGCATTTTCTTTTTTTCTTTATTTTTTTTTTTTCTACGATAGCGTCACCTTTTGAAGCTGTCGAACGCGGACCGCTTTGGCGGTGCTGCAGGGTCGACCTTGTCCCAACCTTCGGTCTTCGAGGTCGTCGACGTACGGTGCTCGCTGGTGCTCGTATGATGCCGACTTCATAGTTAGTCACCAACGTGCCAATGCAGAGAGCCAATCGGTACAGGCGAGACGGTAGAGTCGAGCGCAGGAAGAGGGGTTGTTGTTGTTATTATTGTCGGTTAACTTTAGCGTGTATAGAGTCGTCCGGACTTTCAACGTTGTCCGTGCTCTCTCTCTCTCTCTCTCATTCACATCAAACTCGCTTCTGTTTCTTGGCGACACGACTTTCACTCCATTTCGCGAGATCAATCTCAGCTCCTTGAGCTAAGGTTTCATCAGCGACGACCAGTCATTCGTCAGCTAGATCGCTTTTAAGCTCCTCGGTTTCGCCAACGACAAACAATTCCTTCTCGCCATCCCCGATTTTCGTCAGAAAATATTTCTGCCGACGGATAAATCGTTGAATTTACAAATCATACATTGAACTCGGCCAACCGTGCGAAAAAATCGACAGTATTGTTTAAAAATGTTCTTCTTTATGTCGTTAAAGGGATCATCCGGCTGACAAATAACTGTTCGGAGTCCATTTGTTCCGCTAATCGTTGGTGAAACCCGCCCTCGGTCGAGTTGTTATCGATCATGTCCTTTGTAATCATTCATGTTATCACCTTGACTTTTCAATATCGAACTCTGATAGGGAAAATCCGCTTTTTGAAATTGTACATCAAGTTGCGTGTTTTATCGATAGATTGATATTAAGCATGCTTGATCTTGGAGAGCGGTAAATTCCGTCGTGCCAAGAAACAAGGAGCGAGCGACGTTCCAAGCGAGGTATCATTGTCCAAATCTCTTCCTTTCTTAAAATTTAGTGGAAATTCTACTTATATACTCTCACTTGGAACATTGTAATTTGTAGTTTGATTCGTTGTGAAATGTTGCGAATGTGGTCCTTCCAAAGAAACGCAAGATTTATCACTCATCATCGCGCACCCACGTTCGCCACACTTTGTGTATAATTTGAAGAGGAGAGGGAGGGGGAAGTAAAATATAAAATTACCAAAATAAACCGTAGAAATTATAAGCGTTAAACTCTTACTCGATAAAAGTCTCGTCTCGCGTATATGCGTTGGAGTAAATAAATACTGTAACGTCTGTCGCGAATTTAAAGTGTGCGCCTCGCGACACCAGCCAAGTTCGCCTCAAAACAAAAAACGATGTACAAGAAGCGGTAAGACAATCGACACACGTCACACGCAGCAAATAAATCGTAAAAGCTGTGTACAAATTATTATCGTACAAATTAAAAAAAAAACTAATGAAGCGCACTCGACAAATATATATAAGTATGTGAGTCTTATTATGGATTTCTGGAATTAATTCGTATGAATCACCTCGCGCGAAAACGAAACTTCTCGAATGAGTACCTGCACTTATCTGGGTGACCTTTCGCCGCGGACCGCAATCGCTACGCTAATTAGCGCTGATAATCAACGTTAAACTTATTGACGACAGTCCCCGAGGAGGCCTCGTGACCGATCGATCGTAGGCGCGTTTATCTGCACGTGGATAAGAACGGGCTTTGCAGCTGTGCGCGAAATAACGAGCCGAAGATATCACGATAACCGATAACCGGAAGTCCTCGGTCTTCGAGAAGGAGAGGTCGTCAACCCGCCATCGCCAAGAAAGATGCTAGTACGCAATTACATCGTCGCAGCTCTACTTGCCAGTGAGGACGAACGTGATTCTCTCCCGAGTCACGTTTTATCGTCCACGTTGCCTCAACTAGTTCTCGGAATTTGTTTCACTTCGATTTAGCCGTAAGACGAGTCCATCGCTCAATCATCTTGCAATCTTATGTACAGTTCCGCGATTACTTGCGCGAGTTTCGCAAAAGATTTCAAGTGCCTATACTCGCGCCAGGTGCGTACACCTGTCATTGGTAACTAATGAGGGCCCGCTCTTTTTATGGTTCCTTTTTTCTCTACGATACGACTGTTTACACGTGCGTATTCAAAAGACGCGTAGCGACGGATGAGTTGAGAGAATTTCGCAAGAGCCTTTAAAACTTCTCTTGATTCACGGAAGAAAATAATTTGCTGGCGCAGCAAATTTCATGCTGTCGCAGCAAAATCTGTCAGTTACTATGCGGACAGCGAAACGAGAATTGTTAAGAATACTAACTGCCATTCGCCGGATTATTTTGCCGTAAGAACAAAGTAATAAATGTACGAAAACACTATTTTATTCTAACGACAAATTAACGTGTCCTAAGGACAAATTCACTCGGCAGAACATTTTCTATCCCAGCCACAAAACCATTTCTGTTTTAATTATAAATAATTTGCCAATTTGGTTATGCTAACTAAATTTTATCGCTGTCGCAACAATGGTTTCGCTGCAACAGCAAAATTATTTTTCCCCGTGGCTGTACATAAATCGAAAACATTAAAAATTTTTCAAATTTGTTTATAAGCTTAGATATCTTGATCGAAGTGTTTTCTCGTTCTTATAAGAGCGGCGATTGTCTTTTATGCTTGACGTAATACGAACTCGAAGGATATTGCTCTCAGAAGGGGATCGTAACGACGTTGCGCACGACATTCATGAGAGTTTCACGATGGGGTCGGCCGAATAAATTCTGTAACAGTGAAACGATTCTAAGAACAAAATGTCATGTATCCCGTCACGCGATATAACGTGTTTAGCGGTAGTAACAACCGTTTTCCGCGTTTTATTTCTTTCGTACGCGTAGATACCGAACGAAGAAGCGACCGCCGCGTGTCGTTACCGAATGAACAGACGACGCAATAGAGACGTTTCCATCGGCTATCACGCGATGTTCCGACGGAATTATCGCGGGACGGTTGCAGCGACTAGCTGCAACTTTGCATTTTCTCAAAAGAGAGAGAGAGAGAGGAGTTCGTCGGATCTCAATCGAACTTAGATCGAAGAAAAACGATTTGAATATTTCGAGGCGTCTGCTAACGCGAGACAGGCGTCTAGTAAAAGCGCGCAGGAGAGCTGTGTGGGAATGAATGCGGCAGAGAACAATTATGGCAGACAAGAGAAAGGTCGGATCCAGTCTCGTGAAATCGAGGGAGGTCAACCATAGCAAGCAGGATCTTACAGAACCTGGCGTCGTCGTCGGAGTGGAAAGGCCAAACGCCAAACGCGGGTCACGGCGGAGTGGTAGTTTCTAATTCAGTTGCAATACTTTACAATCTCGCGCTGACGTGACGACTGTATACCACACCTGCGATTTCATTGACTGTCGATCTATTGTAAGAGGTGAATCATTTAGTCGCGAAATAATTGAGAAATACGGCTTCGAAGCTGGTACGTTGTATACATTATCTCTCGATCCGACTATTTAAGTTATTTTAATTTATCGAGTGTAGAAGGGACATCAATGAATTTTGGGGCATCACTGTTAAAAAAGATTATCTAAATACAGGCGGACATTTTCATCATATTTATATAACGCGTTGACGTAAGCTAACATTATCTCTCCTCGATACAAACAGAACGATTAAGTAACCAGCTTGTTTCCATATTTAGCACGATAGAATATAATGTAGAGGTGAGATATATGACCGTAGAAGGAAATATTAGGTAAAAGAATTTACCTAATATCTGTCATTTATTAATAACTCGACGGTCAGGGGGCCATGTTTAATTGAGATATTCGCGTGTACGTCGCTCGTCGATTTTGCCGCAGAAACGAGAGATGAAACGACAGTTTGTCGAGCGCGCATGCAAAGTGGTGAGTATTTCGAGAAAATTAGTACGATAAACGCGAAGATCTCTGTATAATAACGGAACTCCAAACCGCGACGTACAGTAACCAGCAGAATAGCTTTAACATGCGATATATAACTAGGTCATTGGAATTTTCTAATCTCGACTGATCTATCATTTCTTGATTATTCGAAGAGGCAGGAACGATCTGTCAAATCAGTAATTTGTCATTTGTAATGGTTTTACGTTAATAATTGAACACGAATATGTACGGTTACATAGTTTTGTCAAGCTGTCGAAATGCATTTAGCTGAATAACCGACAGTCAATATAACAGTAAATAATATAATATAATCATATTCAACCGATTGATGATATCGAGATAATCGTAGAGCTACGTGCGTCTTTTCTGCGGAATCGATACTAACAGACGACTGGGGTCAACGAATCGTTCAGTGATTCAGCACACAAGTGCGTTGTCGAAATTGTATAACAGAAAGACGATCAGTTGTGCTTCGGAACGAAAGCGTGCGCGTATGTCGGAAGGTGTGCGAAAGCGAGTTAATCTCCTTTCAGCACGCATCGCGGCTGCTCAGAGCCTTCGATCGCGAGAGATCGTGATTGCCAGACGGGGTACGTCAGTTGTCTGCGAAAGTTTGAACGTAAAGTTCAGCATAGTTCGCCCAAGTCGCGTAACGAGCTACGCTCTGCCTGTAAGAGGCAATTTCCTGTTGCTGCTCGAATCAAGACGCGCCGTCGGAAAGCCTACCTGTACGAAAACGTCTATCTATTCGCAAGAACGCTTTCGAACGAGATCGAACCCGCGTGAAACTACCTTCCGCATCCGTTTTTAAAACGAAAGCAACGAGGGCGAAAGATATCGGCATCTTGATTTAGGATTAATTTTTTTTTTCCTGTACATAGATGAGTCAAGCATATGACTCATAAATCAGAACGAATATCTACGAGTTGAGTATAACAACAACAACAATTAAATTTGCAGAACTGTTATCGGCGTCTTATCGATGAATATATATTTCACTACCGAGAGTCTCCGATTGGGAGATAAAAAAAAAAACATTCCGGCGAGATATATTCGGCTTTCAGGAACGATTTGGCAGATTTTCTCAAGGTAATTCTCTTTTATCGCGATGCGGATCAACGATATAATTATATTGAGTCACACGAGAAAAGACGCGAAAGCGTGAAGTGTAACTCGTTACCGCGCCGAAGAAAACGGGACTGTCCGGACAAGCGCTTCGAGAGTCAACAGCCGTACATCTTCCTCCGTATTAGACAGCTTCGACGTAGCTAAGAACTGCGCGCTGAAGAATGTTCGCGCTGAAGGCTCGCCACTCTGCATGATGAACCGTACACACTTGTCTATTTGCAGTAACCGTCCCTGAACGCGAGCATTACGTCAGGAGCGCGTGATGATTCGGGCTTCGTAATGGTCCATACTCACCTCCCACGTAGAAGAGCGGGGCGATCCATCAAGAATGCTCGATCGATATCGAGCACCTGCTTGGCATAACGCTTATTTATAGACCCGTCGGACAACGTTTCCGCTTCTTCGATAGAAAAATCTCGATACGTGGCGAAAAGATTAGTGCATCAAGAATCAGATTTTCACACACAAGCGAGAAATACTATATATTCTCGTTTATATATGAGAATATGTTTTGAAGTTGATACTAATTCTTTTTCCGATCTCATGAGAAGCAATTCCGTCCGGGTCGCATTGTGACAAATATATCGCGACATCGGGCCGCTAATCGCGCCCGCGGCTAATTTAATCGGCGTGTTAGATCGAGTTAAACACTTAAAGAACGTGTTCCTAATCAACCGTGTCACTAATCCGGAAACACGGAATGAATCGGAAAGCGGGGAAAATTCGATTAGTCGCGTGACGAATATCGTTCATTGCTGTGAGTGATTGAACACCCTGTGATTCGACATGTAGTTATGCGATCGAGCGACAATTGAGCGAGGAACGGCGCGAGTTCACAAGCGATGCAACGTACCGGCATTTGATCACCGTTTTGTGCCTGGGTGGATAGAGATCTTCGTCCAGGATCATCGCGTCGACGATGCTCGGCTGGCTGAGAACGAATCGACACTATCGACGAGCGAGCGAGCACGGATCGCTTTCGAACGCGGCGATGCGGCTGCCGCGATGTCGCAAAAATTACTGCGTAAAATTGCCCGCAGGATCCCTGCAAGCTCCTCACCTTTCCTATGGCACGATTTAGTGCTTGATCCAGACAGAGCCCGGTAGTGGGGCGGCCGATCGTGATCTCGCGCGCGTCAATGTCAAGGCCGCGTTGACGTAATGATAATTTGATGCAACGTAAAACTGCATTTCTCGTTTGAACGCTGCGCATTCGGAAGTGTGTCTGGTAGATCTCGAGGAGCGCGAAAACACCGGGGAAGTCGATGTTAATTTGTTCTCATACGCGCGCCGATCGCGATTCGCATAATTCGCACCTCCGGCGGAGCGGATGATGATGATGATGCAATTTCGAAAGAAAAAAGAAGAGAGAACATTTGTTTCACCTGCATAAATATTTTCCCAGATTTTCCTATACGCAGCATCGATTCTCGTTAGAATAGCGACAATTTTTCTAAAATTAACTGTCTCACTACGATATCAATTCTGAATCCCATCCTCTTTCCCAAACATATCAAGTCTTTTCCCCGCGATGCGATTGTCATCGCCAGAATCGACACTGACCGAATATCAGATTAGGAGCTTAATAACCGGATAACATATTTTTAATGTTATAATATATTCAACAAGGCGCATGTAACTTGTGTGCGTACTTGTAAAGTGTAATACTTAAATTCGTATACTTTGCTCAATCGTCGTGTGTAAATTTTAAACCAGAAAAAATTTTTGGACAAACGTTAGAGGTGACTAAGTTGGATCCGTTTCGCATTTAGGATCGTATGTTTGAAATTACACTTCTAACCTGCGTAGATTTCCAAGCTAGAATTCATAATTAATCTGAAAAATTGGACTGGATCTCAATTAGATCCCACGGAATTTTTTACACGGGTATTAGAGCGAGAGATGGATATGCTGCTTCATGTTCTTCATATAAATCAACGTGTGCGATATATATGCGTTCGTCGAGTTCACTTTTTAATTAATTAACGAGAATTCTCTCCGAGGTAAGTGAGAAAGAGTCTCGTTGGGACGATTTCTCTCTCTCTCTCTCTCTCTCACGGTTTTTTTATTGTGTTTTCGAACGAGATATTTCACAGCGCAGCGGAGTCGAGTTCAGAAAGTGCGACTTGTGCGTACATCAGCGTGCGCGGAAACGCGCAGTGAACGCGGCCGGCGCTGCGGTGTCATCCAACGAGACGCGTTCAACATAATTGCGTAACAAACTGCCGCGCTTGTAATTCCGCGAGCGCATTTCCCGCAGAAATGCATTTGAAATATGCGAACGATTCGAAACGCGAATGCCATCACGCGACAATGTTAATCGCTATTTATACCGTGCGAAATTCAATGCGCGTTTCCCCGTCCCTGACCGCAGATCCGTGAACGGTCGCGAGCGAACGTGAAATAAAAAAGCGAAATCGCTGTCGCAGACGTTGCCGTGGAAAATAGCGTCGTTTCGCAGGAAGTAACAAATTAAAAAACACGAGAATATCGCGAGTTTCGCGCAAAGATACGGACGTGAGCGCAGCGAGGCGCACTGCAAATTCGCGCGAACACACATTCTAAGAACTTTGGATATTTTAATCGGAATCTATGCTGTACCTGAAAAAATCATCTGACAAATTTCTATACGGACGTTAATTAATTCTCCCGCGGGGTGTGTGTGTGTGTGTGTGCGCGACACTTTCGCCGCCAAGAATTGAGAGATTCTGTAGGATGAAACTGTGCACAGCTCGACCGCGTTCCGTATGCGTATGCAAATTTCAGATACACACACACACACATGCCCCGAGAGATTATCCGCTGCGTTCTCGGCGGCTTCGTTCGCGCGCTCGACACACCGACCACGCTAGAGGGGGGCTTCTGGTCTGCGAATGTAATGACGGAATCTCTATAAATAGCAGGTACGACACGACGAAATGCGCGAAACGACGGTATTGATGGAAAATTCTCGATTAGTCAACAACAGTCGCTAAGTCGCGCTGTCGATTGAAAAACCGGCGGACTTAGCTGAGACAGTATTTGCAGATTTTCAGTGAGCCGATACGACGATGGCGACGGGAGGACTAATCGCGATCGTGTTCTCTTTGGTGAGAGGTGATTTGTATGCAAATGATATCACCCGGTTCTTTCGCGTTTCATATAGAAATATGTCTCCATGATAACGCGTGCGATCGATCAGTGGAAGAGTAATCTCCTGTTCAATTACATGACTCGATTGTCGAACTGAATTGATACTCGAGATACACAGTTACAGGAAGTTTGCAACATTTTTTTGTATAAGTTTCGGAACGCATCCCGTTGTCTAATAGAATTTGTTTTTCCGGTAATTTCCGGAAGATACATTTTTCTATTGGATATGAGATGCGATACTCACTGAAAAGAAGTGTTGCAACCTTTTTCGTGACTGACCTCACCAACGATCGATATTTCGTCGATTGGCGATTGAAGATTTGCAATGTGTGAGAAAGACTTTTCACTGCGCACTCAATTTTTTTTTTTAATAAATAAATAAACGAATATATGATACAATGTAGGACGCGATCTTTCGGTGATCGTCGACGATCGTCGGTTCGACGATCCTCGATCGCGTGTAACTTCAACACCGCATCAATTCGTATCGTTTTCGAAAACGAAGTCTTTAAGTGCGTCGAGGGCAAAGTGCAAATAAAATATAAAACTTGTCGCGCTGCGATCGGCCGAACTGAAAAGTTCAACATAGGAATATCAGAAGACTCGCTCTCGAGTTCTCTCTGATCTTTTCTCGCGTCGTGTCGCTATGTATTTTCCAAGCGGCAAGAGATCAATATATTTTCAATGTCAATTGTGTCGTGACCTACGACGGGTCTCGTGGGATGCTTTTTCTCTCTCCAATGTCGCGATACGTACACGACGGATATACAAACGGATGATAAAAACACACGTTTTTCGACGATTTACCGAGAGGTGAAGAAGCGGGGCGTCTCGATACGCGTGTGTACGACATATACCGCTACCGGCATCGCGTACGTAAACACCACATAACACCCGGGTGTCGATGTAAATAAATGCCGGGCCACCTAAATACGACGATGTCGCAATCACCGTGCAAAATTGCCGGAAACCGAACGAGATATCACGCGAGATATCCGAAATATAAGAGTCCGCAGGAGACGCACGCGAGAGAAAACGCGAGAGCGAGAAGAACAACCGGCGTCGCATCCGGGGAGTCTCTCAGGTTCGGGCATTTCGCGAGGGGTACTCTCTCTCTTTCACGCGTACCTGGTGGTGCTCTTGAAGAAATTGTTGCTCTCGCGGTTCATCAGCTCGCTGCGGAACCGCGACATCTCGTCCTCCATCTTTCTCATCTCGGCGTCGAAGCGCTCGCGTATGTTGGAGAACTCGGTGTCGATCACGCTGAAGTCACCGAGCTTGATCGGAATGTTGCGCTTGATACCACTGTCGGCCATGTTTCCTCCCGCGTGTATGCACTCGAGTGTGTGTATGAGTCTCTCTCTTTCTCTCTCTCTCTTCACTCAACCACTCAACCAGGTGTACTCGCGTCTTCGTCGTGCACGATTCGATCGCGAATAATAACTCGGTATTGAACGCACGTGTCTCGCTCCGAGTCCCGCCTAAGGAATGAGCGCGGCTCGCCGGCTGCCCTTTAAATAGCTGGCGACGCCGGCGGTGCCGCTCGTGGGAGTTCGGCCGCGCTCGGCGAACTTCGCGGGCCGCGCACGCGGTCGTCGCGGAGCGGACGTTCGCGAAGTTTGACACACGTTCCCCGGACGAACGACGACGGTGACCTGGGGCCCTAATTAGACGCGTCGATCGCCGAAAGCGGGAATGTCGTTAGCGAGAAATTAATACGCGGACGAATTGAGGAAGCCGCGCTGCTGTTGAAAAAGCGTGGGTGAGAGGGAAAGAAAGGAGAGAGAGATGGAGGAGCGCGTCGCGCCCACTTTGCCATTTACGGACGCCTACTTCGACGGGAATTTACCGTAATTTCGTTCCCCGGAGGTTGAAAGAGGAAATATGAATTTTTATCGCGCCTAAAACCGTCTGGCCTGTTTAATCGAGTTCGAGTTAAGCCGGTTCCACGGCGAACGTAGACAGTTATATTGATCGCGTATGTTGGACGAATGTAACATAAATAACAAATGTAATGTAACAATAAATAATATATTATAACACAGGTAATCAATATAATTCCCGATCAATTCCCGCGTCGTGCGGAGCCGGCTTAACAACGCGCATTAACAATCGACGAATCAGGCCGCGTTTCGTTAAAAAAGAAACCATTCATGTGCGTTGGGGGGGGGGGGGTTCATTTCGCGTTCCGTCGGATTCTTCGTTTTCCTCGGGAAGATCGCTTCTTCTGTTGTTGTGAAAATCTTTATCGAGATCAATGAGTCGACTTTCCAGAACGTTCCGCACGCGATCTATTTCTGTACGAATAACGCACCGCGCGAAAATGGGACCTGTCTCTTAGAATTTGTTCATATAAAGATTGCGCGTGGGCGAAACGCGCTGTCGGAACGTCACACAAAACGAATCATCGTTGTCGGCGTGCGCGCGCGCGAGAGAGAGAGAGAGAGAGCATGACTAATAAACTTGCGCGATCGTTTCCTTATGTACGACCCCCGCGAAGGAACAATCTCGTAAATTCCTACGCGCGCGATCCGACCATAATTATTTGCATTCGCAGATTTTAAAGGAGAGACGAAAATAGCGCGACCGATGGCACGCGGAAAAATTTACTTGTCGGCGCGACATACTCATGAGTCGGTTGCCGTATTTCAGGATTAAGAAGCTTATTTCGTACGGTACTCTTCCTATAATTCCTTCGCGAGGGAAACTCCTACTATATCTTTAAAACCGGACTTTTACGTTACGTTACGCGTCGCGTCGGAGAACGAGCGCTCAGCGCTCAGAAAACGTAAGCCGCGAATAAAAGGGTTCGCGATGACGTAAGGCCTTTAACGAGTTACAATGACGGATGATACGATTTTTACGGTGCTGATTGATTAATTAGACTGCACGCCGAATTAAAAGGTCTCGTGGAAGTCAATAACGGACAGCGGAAGATCGAGAGAGGAGGACGAGGACATCGCGATGATCTTTCGAAAGAAACTTAAATTAATGTCAAGTAAAAACTCAAAAAAAAAAATTAATGTCAAGTAAAACTCCAAAGGGTCTCCAATTAATGTCAAATAAAAAAATTTCCCCTAGGAACGACATGAAGGAAATCATCGTCATGGCGAAAGCAATCCTGTTTCACAAACGGATCCGACGCATCGCTGTCGCCAATTACGGCCGTCTGATTCCCACTCTTTGATTAAGTAATATTGTTCCGCAATTTTTGTCGGACAAACGAGGCTCACGACCAATCACGAGGGCTATGGTTACGAGCCAATTATAAACTCGTAATGTCAACAGATGCGAGAACGCGCTGTGCAATTCATGTGCGTCCGCGAAAAATTGGCAGTAGCCTCGCGTCAGCAAGTCGAGCACGTTAAAAGAATGTTTACGTCGTCACGACAGAGAGAGAGAGAGAGAGAAGAAGAGAGAATTCTTTTACGGTATCGAGACGAGTGGCGAATGACGTCGACGCTATTTCGACACTTCGCACCGTCATGAGAGGCGCTCGACTGAATGGAGCGACACGTCACGACGCTTCCTTCCTCGCACGCATGCAGTCCTGGCGCTCGCCTTCGTCAAGGATACGCGAATCAGCACTGTCGGAAAGTCTCCTCACGTCGAGTTCTAAAGTGAATCAGGAGAACGCGACAGATGCACTCGCTAGTACTAAACTTGGCTCGGCTGAGAGGAAGCGGACTCAAGATCGTACTAGAGAGGATGGAAGAGTACATCCTGCGCATCACACATACGCGTTGCAAAACGCGTGTTTACCCAGCGAAAAAAAGAAATCAAATGCTCATCTCTCTCGATCGTCGAGGTTAACGTCGAAGTGTGTCAATGTCGAAGCACTCGGATGGGAGCGCGACGAGATTCAGCACGAAACACTCGACTTCCTCTCTCGTCTCTGTAACGTCCACGGCAGCCACCGTGTGGGGATACTCGACGGGCTGTATGACGTCATCTCTGTGGGGGTTTCGCGACGGGGATCGATAAAAGGCGTCACAACAGTGCCTAATATGGATCGAAGATAAAGTTCCCCGTGCATTATCGTGGCTTTTTGATCGATCATTCCCGTACTTGTACAGGAGTACCGGTTTCGACGCGCGAGCTAATTAAATGCGCGTCACAATGCGAAAGTAACGATCAAGGTGCTTAAAACGTGCCACGGATCTCGCGTGATATCAAACTAATGTTGAACGAAGTATAATCGAGTTATCGGCGATACGGTTCGAAATCTGAAGTTAAAATAACTAAGATTCGTGGAAGCCGCATCGTCGTAGCGTTGCTGAGATATTAATTACAATATTTCGTAAAGCAAACTGTTAATGCCCGCGTGGTCGAACATAGGCATGCACATGTTCACATCAGGGGCAGCTCGAGTGAGTGAGAAGGACAATGACCCTATAGCCCATTGGACAACTTGGGGATGGGGTAGGTTCGGGCCGCGTAAGAAAGCAGGTGGCACTGATCTCGCTCAACGAGCGACTTCAAGTTTGATACTATAATGGTAACGAGTTACTTAAAAAAAAAAAAAAAAAACAAAAAAAGAAATAACTTTTCCAACCTTGTAAATTAATTAAAGTAATCTCCTAGAAATTATGTTTTATAAGACCGTGAATATAACGAGCTACAGTTGGTCCAACGATTCCTTCTAAGGAAAGGGTTTGCGTAACTATCGATATTATTAATCAAGGATCTAAGACAAACCACGCAAGCGTTTCGTTTCGTTCCTCATTATCTCATACGATTTCGCAATGACGCGAGGGCGGAAGCTCGTTCGAGCTCGTGATTCGCGTCTGTCGGCATATCCTCGACATTGAATCGCGCGAGTCGAAAGACGACGGTCGAAGGAAATTGAACGGAGGATTCCTTCGGACGAATCTGGCCTCGGATACCTATGCCCGTCTCGGATTTTGTCAGCTAATAATAGTCGGGTAGCGCATGCCGAAGAGCTACTATCTTTTCGGCGACGTGAGTTTGCTTGTTTTCCTCGGCACATACCGGGCTATGAATAATTGTCGAATCTCTTATAAATGCAGCCCGGTAGTCTCGCCGTATGCAAAGAGAGAAATTCAATTTAGCTGGCGACGGCGGATGTCGCGACGCGAGATGTATAATCTTAACGAAATATTAACGCTCTTCGCGTCGCGAGCAGGAGGAAAGAAAGAGCAGCGCACGATCTCCGCGAAAGACGGATCCATCAAGAGGAAACGAATAGGCCAAAATTGACCGACGAAATAATTATTTATTTATCGATCTAGCGCGCGAATCGCTCACGCCGACCCACGCCAAATAAATCAACGCTGTCGATCGACCAATGTCACTGCCGCGAATAGATCTGTACGTAACGCGATGACAGGTGGCCGTGAATAAATAATTGATTGTGCAATTGCTGCCCTTTTGTAGGATTCCGACGCTTCGCTTCTGCGCGCAAACGCATTATTTCCGTTGTCGCCTGCGACAACTCCGGATAAACGGATGTGATTGTGTGCATATCGATAATATGTAGTAAAATTAATTAACTGAAAATTGCGCGATGTACTCGACGAACTTGTAAACAATCGTTTCGTTGAGATCCATGCGACTTGAATAAGTAATATAACACAAAAAATTCAGAGATGTAATTATCATAACTATAGAAATGAGCATTTGTTTTCTTCCGTGCGATATTTTGTTCGATCGATATTTCGTTATAAAATATAGAATTATAAAACTCCCGTTACCGATCCAGTAGTGTAACGAAGTGTTTTATATTCAATATAGATGGCGGTAGAGAAATGCGAGTAGGAAGATGGCGATACCATTGCTAAAAATTGATGTTGAGAGACGGCACATATTTTCGTTCTGTAATTGGACGTCACCATGAAGCGTGATACGAAAAATATTGAAAACAAGGATCGCCGAAAGAAGGGAGGTGAAGAAAAAAAGACGGAAAAGCGAAATGAGAAGACGTTCGATAAAAAAAAATATAGGTTGCAAAAGTACAGCAATAAATATAAAAGTAAGTCTACCAGTTGCATATGCATCATTTAAATTAGGTTATGTTAGTTTAGATTTATCGTTTATTCAGCACGTATATTTTTTTTGCATTAGTCAATCAATGGGAAGAAAGAAGAAAAAAGGCTATATTGCGTGAATTTCACAAGGAACTCAAGAGAAATCAGCAGAATTCCGCGCAAATGTCAATAAATTCAAGCGATACATCAAAGAATGCAGATGAGACAAGGTATATGAAGGATTAATACAGGCTAGATTTTTTGCTATCGATCCTAATCTCTGTTAAATATGTTTATGTTCTTTTATATTTCTATTTCTATTGAGTGTATTTATATTTTGAAAGTAGTAACTCAATGAAGAACAGTCCTTTGCACAAATCTGTACAAGAGTATAAGAATAGAATGGAAGAAGAAAAGAGGACAAGAGGGCAAGAAGAAGCTACTCGTGTAAAAGCCAAACAAGAAGCCGCGAAGAAATATAAAGAGAAGAAAATACGTGCTTTCAAGGCGCTATCGAAAAAAACCAAAAAAGGACAACCTGTCATGAAGGGCAGGATAGAAATGCTGCTGGAGAAAATCCAGCAGGATTTAACATGATCTATTTAGGAGGATCTATCTAGTTTCTATTTAGGAAATAATTTGAATTATGTTTAGCTGAAATATGATCAAATCATAACAAGAGATAAATATTTACTTTGGATTGTGATAAAACTTAATCATTTAGAAAAGTAATAACACATATTTACTTCTATAATAACTATGTTAAACATAAACATAGTATCCAAATAGTTTTGTAATTTCCTACAATCTTGCTGAAAATATAAGAGTCAAGATTGATCTCACTTATTTGAGAACATACTGGAGACTTGGAAAGCCCTGTATCAATGTAAACTCCAATATAGTAGTAAATAGAATTTTGTATTTGCTTGTTAACTTAAAACTTTCAATAAAGTTAAATAAAACTTTCAATAAAACGTGATTTTTCTTCTATATGTAAAATTGCCAGTTCAAAGTCATTTTGTAAGCTTCTGCAACAAGCTTTTTATTATTTAATGGCAGAATTGGTAAGATAATTTTTATTTTTAACTAAATTAACAATTAATGGCTATAAAATTAATATTACAAAATTAATTAAGCAGTTTACAATGATTTTAATATTGATGAATTATTTTAACTTATATTAAAAAAAGTTAATAAGTTAAAGTTAATGCATTTAAAGTAACTAAGTTAAGTTAAAAGTTAACTCATTTAAAATTAACTAAGTTGAATCAAAGGTTAATAACCTTTTAATTTAACTTTTAACTGATTAACTAGTTATTACCCAATTCTGTTCAATAATAATTCGCGAGTGCACAACTGGATAAATAAAAATCGCTTACATATTATTTGTTGGGGCCTCCGTGTTTATCAGCTTTATCAACACTTACCGATTTTCTTTCTCTTGGCTGTTCTTGAAAACCTGATACATAACGGTCGAATTCTCAACTGACTGAACATCGCAGCGATTGAGATAATCGAAATATTTCGATACGCGCAATACTTCATTCCTGTTACGCTCGACGAATCAGACACGTCCATTGTGTTCAAGTGGTACGTCTCATCGTTGGGTCAGATATCCTTTTCATCCATTTCAGATACAATAAGCTACACTATTGTAATTTTTACCGATGTTAGATATCGTTAAATTTTTAATATTTTTTAGAATATTACTAATAATAATAGATAATCTAACTGTTAGAACTGGTAAAGATTAATTAATGAGCTGCCTACCGCCATCTAGTAGTGTTTTGATAAACCCGTTAGACGCAGGCAAGGTTTGAGTATCGACGTTATTACTTCGAATTCTCCGCTACGAGGCGCTACGAATTTCAAAAAGAAATCGGGGTCGTAGTACAATTGAACAATAAGTACGATAATTGGTAAATAGTCAGTTATATTTGTCATTTGTTTCACTTTCTTTTCAATTGTAATTCATTCAATTTGAAAAAATATATTGGAAGATACATATGTATACAATCAGGGCACACATCTATCTGTTACACTAAAATAATGAAGGATTTAAAAAACTACTTAAATGAAAGAAGAAATTGCTGATTGCAATCGAACCGAAAAAATAGTTGGGTTTTTACGTAAAAAATTTACGTCATAAAAATATAAAAAATGTATTTTAAAGGGAAAACCTTCACCTTTTTTTTTCAAAGTGAGTTTCTTCTCATTCTTTACGCTATCTGCATTTATTCCATTTCATTCCAGTACGGTGGCAACCGAGAGAGCAAGATGAAGAAACAAAGCCGAAGCTCCTTGCGCAAGTCCCGAAGAAGCAGCAATGTTTAATAACCCGTTTGTCCGGCGCACAATCATTAGGAATTCCGTCCGATAAAATCAACCCATCATCGATTTATCGTTCCCGGTAATCTGCGTGGGGTGGGGGAGCATAACCTTTTCGTAGAGGTACAATAATCACGGTGCATTCACGGTTGGATTGCCGCAACACACGATGCTTTCGTGCAGCGGATCAATCGACGTGCGTTACCGCCGTCGTCGAGCTTCGCTCGACGACGGTACGGGAGAGCGAGAGAGAGAGCTTCGAAATACGAAAATGCACGCGCCAGCGCGTATCACGCGTGCGCGCTGGCATTTGACGTGCGGCCGTCGTCCGTCAGAGCTAGTCGACGGTTGCAAATGGCGACAGCCACGAAGTCTCTGGCACGGGCTCGCGATTAGTTCCACGCCTACCGTGCGCCCCGCGAGCGAGCCGTGCGTGCGACGCAACCTCAGGTCAGATCGGTACGTATCACCGATGATTTCGGCGAGCTGCGTCGCGATCGGACGGCTATAGCGCGCCGTAGAATTCAGCGGGAACGCGACGCGACCTTCTCTCTCTCTCTCCCCCTCCCCCTCCCTCTCCGCCTTTATCACTCTCTCTCTCTTTCTCTTTCTGTGTCTCGCGCGCGCGAGAGACAGCTTTCGCCCTCGAAGAGACGAACGAAAACGCGGATCGCTCGTCCGGAACTTGGCTGTGTCCGATCGATCGATAAGTCGCGATCGTCGCCTCCTCCGTCGGCTTCGGTCGGCACGATCGTGCACGGATCCGCCGGGAGAGCGGACGCGCTGTCAAAGACTTTGGCGTGTCGACTCTCCGGCTCGCGTTGTCCCGTCTCGTTCTTTCCTCCCGGACGTCGTTGCGGGCGTGAGGGTAACCGCGAGAAAGCCGAGCCCGAACTTCGACTCCCCGCCGGATGGCATACTTTCTGACAGCGCGCTCGACGGGAATATGTATTGTTAGGGAACGCGAAGGAGCACACGATAAGGAGCGCGACCACGCGTCCCGCTCGCTCGCCCGGTTGCGTCAGAGGTTCTCGGCGGTGCGACGAAACAAATACCAATTACAGTATATTCGCGAGCACGCACGTCTCGGAGGGGAATGAACGTCGAGTGTGTGTTTTCATTCTCGGTCTCGGTTTGCAGGTAGCTCGAAGCAAGACGAGGCAAAATGCCAGCCGTCCGAGGAGATGGCATGCGTGGATTGGCGGTGTTCATATCGGATATCAGGAATTGTGAGTACGGATCCTGTGCGACGGTGTATGTGTGTGTGTGTAGCGCATTCTGTACGCATGCATGTGTGTAAAAATCTCAGTGTAATATATCTTGTATAGCGTCTTGCTTGGATATTTTTCCCCGTGCAAATTTATATTCGCTCCAGTACTTTTGATTGTGACGAGAGAGATGTTTCATTCATTTGTGATATTGTGCCATTGAAACTGGTATGCGGAGCATTTATAATGCAGAGAGGAGCGAAAGGGGGCGGAGTTCTGATATCGGCCTATCTTCCTGATAGAGCTGACTCTCGAACACCAATCTGCTGGCACATTGACATTATTAGCCGCAGATTTATGAAAAAAACAATTTCAGGCTCCCTTGACGTATCTGCCTATTAATGGGACTGATCGAACGGATTATATTTTGTAACTATTAATTAATCGCGCTGTTAATGCCTTTGTATCATGGTTTCGACTTTTAATTTTAAACGACACACATGAAAGCACCTCAGCCTTGACACCACGCCAGTTGGCCTGTTGCCATTATTTTTTGCATCGGATATTTCTATTAATGTGTTATTACTGATCAATATTCACACGAGAATGTATCGTCCATAAACCTGTCACATCGAAGAAGATATTGCCCTTACTCTTCTGAAAGAAGTCACTGTTTCGTCGTTTCGCAGTTTCGTGTGGATTGGCTAAAATGAAACTTCTTTTATTATCAGGTAAAAGCAAAGAAGCAGAAATCAAGAGAATCAATAAGGAATTAGCGAACATTCGCAGTAAATTTAAAGGGGATAAGACACTCGATGGGTATCAGAAGAAGAAATATGTGTGCAAGCTGCTGTTCATTTTTCTTCTTGGCCATGACATCGATTTCGGACATATGGAGGCTGTCAATTTGCTGTCATCGAATAAGTATTCGGAAAAACAAATTGTGAGTATAGACGCGCGATTTGTGTCTTGTACGTCGCAAGATCAAACGTTATCCCGGTTGGTTTCAGGGTTACCTTTTCATATCAGTCTTAGTGAACACCAACAGCGACCTGATCAAGTTGATCATACAGAGTATAAAAAATGATCTCGCTTCGCGCAATCCGATTCACGTGAACTTGGCGTTGCAATGCATCGCTAATATCGGTAGCAAGGAAATGGCGGAGGCTTTCGGCAATGAGATCCCGAAGCTGCTTGTTTCAGGGTATGTTATCAGCCCTCGACATACGTAGATCCGTACTTACGTAGAAAATTTCTTACCTGAAATTTAACGCCAATCGATCGAGCGGCTATACGAGACCAATGTCTGCATTCTATCATTGTTAACGATGTTGTCGTTGCGCAGATATATTGCAGAAAAGATGCGCATTGCAAGTTAACTATACATTCACGAAAATCACGCTATGGTGGTACGGCTCTTGTTGTGTTTTTATTCAGGCGTTGTGCAATGTGTATAAAGTAGATTCAACATATGGTAGATTTTTATTTAGTTAGAGTTTTGTGCGTGATCATCCACCTACGTCAGTCGAGGGCTGGCTGTATATTGATTTGTAAATGATGGCGTTAATCATATTCACAGCTCGCGCGTGATTCTGATTAGATTCTGATTTAATCTTCGAACGATATTTGTCGACCAGAGATACCATGGATGTTGTGAAGCAAAGCGCCGCGTTATGCCTACTGCGTCTGCTACGAACTGCCCCCGACGTCGTGCCTGGAGGCGAGTGGACGTCTCGCATAGTCCATCTGTTAAACGATCAACACTTGGGCGTTGTAACAGCCGCGGCGTCGCTCATAGATGCTCTCGTGAAGAGGAATCCCGAGGAATACAAGGGCTGCGTCAGCCTCGCAGTTTCGAGATTAAGTAGAGTGCGTTATCAAAAGACATTCCGATACTTTCGGACTTCCGGTGGAGAGATGCTCGATCTGGCTTCTGGCTGTGTCCCTTGTGGAAATCTATTTCCGGTGTGTCGTAGACACGTCGGTTCAATTATTTAAGATAAGAGGAGCGACCGTTCTCACGAAACGTCAGAAACAGATCCACGAAGGACTAATCCGGATACCTACGAGGCACAGTAGTTCGAAAGTAAAAATTTCTGACCGAAACTCTGAATCTTGATGAAAGTAATCTTTGCGTACGGAAAATATCTTTTAGGAGAAAAGCAACTGTCTGTGAGTGATTTTTCTTTTTGTCTTTTTTTTTTTTAATATATACAAAATGAGTTTCGGCCAAGAAATATCTATGTACCAGACCAGTAAAAACAACGGCAAGAATGATTTTTTATGCTTTCCTCGCGATTCGCAGATCGTCACGTCGAGTTATACAGATCTGCAGGATTACACGTATTACTTTGTGCCAGCTCCGTGGTTATCTGTCAAGTTACTGCGTTTGCTGCAGAACTATACGCCTCCAGGTATTTAATTCACGTGCGGGGTGATCACACCTGAATATACGTCTTATAATATCTCGTAACGTGAGTTCAACGCATGCCTTCTTTTCCGTAGCCGAAGATCCGGGTGTAAGGGGCAGATTAAACGAGTGTCTAGAAACGATATTAAACAAAGCTCAAGAACCACCAAAGTCGAAGAAGGTGCAGCACTCGAACGCTAAGAATGCTGTGCTCTTCGAGGCCATTAGTTTAATTATCCACAACGATAGCGAGCCAAATCTCTTAGTGCGTGCGTGCAACCAACTCGGCCAGTTCTTGTCGAATCGCGAGACCAACCTGCGATATCTGGCACTCGAGTCTATGTGCCATTTGGCCACTTCGGAATTCTCGCACGAAGCGGTAAAGAAGCATCAGGAGGTGGTCATATTGTCGATGAAGATGGAAAAGGACGTCTCAGTGAGACAGCAAGCGGTAGATCTGTTGTACGCTATGTGCGATAAGAGTAATGCCGAGGAAATAGTTCAGGAAATGTTAAACTACCTGGAGACGGCAGACTATTCGATCAGAGAGGAGATGGTCCTCAAGGTTGCGATTCTAGCCGAGAAGTACGCGACCGATTACACTTGGTACGTCGATGTAATCCTGAATCTAATTAGGATAGCAGGTGACTACGTATCCGAGGAAGTCTGGTACCGGGTCATCCAAATCGTTATCAATCGTGACGACGTTCAAGGCTACGCCGCCAAAACCGTCTTCGAGGTAAAACACGTCGCTTTCTTTCTTTGCTCAAATTTATCTCATTTCTCTCTTTTTTATGTGACGTTTTAGGCCTTGCAAGCACCCGCCTGCCATGAAAATATGGTCAAAGTCGGTGGTTACATTCTCGGGGAATTTGGTAATCTCATTGCCGGCGACCAACGGTCCTCTCCAGCCGTTCAGTTTCAACTGTTACATTCCAAAGTGAGCCATGTCGCGAAGGATTTGCGTCGACGAACGTGCATGAATGTAAACATAATCAATTTGTCTGTCTTTCGCAGTATCATCTGTGCTCCCCTATGACTCGAGCATTGCTGCTTTCGACGTACATCAAGTTCGTTAATCTGTTCCCTGAAATCCGAAGTCAGATACAGGATGTCTTCAGGCAGCATAGTAACCTGCGCAGCGCGGACGCCGAGCTGCAACAGAGAGCGTCAGAATACTTACAACTGAGCATCATTGCCTCCACCGATGTTCTGGTATTTGAGACAATATTCATTGGAAAAAATAGAACAGACTTATCGGGCTTAGGGTATTAAGAGAATGGTTTGCTCGTAGTTTTAAGACAATGTTTTGCGTTCTGAATCTTTCTCCGAATTATCGTTTCTTTACTTCTTTTTTTTTTTTTCTTTTATCACATGGCATCTTCGTAGGCCACCGTATTGGAAGAGATGCCGGCGTTCCCCGAGAGGGAGTCCTCCATTCTCGCGGTGTTAAAGAAGAAGAAGCCGGGTCGAGTGCCGGAGAACGAGATCAGGGAGAGCAAGAGTCCAGCGCCAAACGCCAATCATCACGCTGAAGCTCCTGCCGTTACTGCGACTGTCACCGTCAACAATTCCTCCGCCGATCTGCTGGGATTGTCAACTCCACCCTCCTCCCAACCGACTAGCAACACGGGCGTACTGCTCGATGTTTTGGGAGATATTTACAACATGCCAAACAAAGTTGGTGCCACCAACGGCGCGCAAAACACGTATAATCCTAAAAAGTAAGACGTATACCGCTTACTAAAGGAATAATGAGGAATGGAGAAATGTCAACGCACATATCGACGTTGCAATGTGACGCTTCATCACTACTTTTCCTTCCAGGTTTGTCTGTAAAAATAACGGTGTCCTGTTCGAGAATGACTTGATACAAATCGGCGTAAAGTCCGAGTTTAGACAAAATCTCGGGCGCGTCGGTCTTTTCTACGGGAACAAAACGCAGTACGCATTACATAGTTTTCAACCGTTGCTCTCTTGGACGGAAGAGAATCAGGCTAAGTTAGCGGTGCAAGTGAAGCCGATCGATTCTGTATTGGAAGCTGGCGCGCAGATCCAGCAAATGATCAATGCGGAATGTGTCGACGATTATAGCGGTACGTAGACATATCGATTTCAATCCTCTTCTAATATATTTAAAATTTAACTTGTGTGTGCCTATGCGCGTGAATCTTTCCCTCTTCGATTACATCTTACGCGTGTTTTTTTCGACAGATGCGCCGAGTATGCTTATCTCTTTCATTTACAATAACGTGCCACAGAAAATTACCATGAAGTTACCTTTAACGATTAACAAGTTTTTTGAGCCGACGGAAATGAACGGGGAATCGTTCTTCGCGAGATGGAAAAACCTTGGCGGGTACGTCACGTAAATACAATACAATAAAGAATATACGAGTGAGATTTTCGAGATGTACGATCCTTGTGTAATTGGAAGAGACCAATAAGAAAGTCGGTGCTGGTAAAAAATTTGTTGTAAAATTAAAAAAAATTACTTAGCTCACAGAATCGATGAATCTAACGTCCAACGTTTCGGTCATAAATTCCGATCCTCTTCAGTGACAATTATTGATGATTTTTTTTAATTCGCAACTAATTACCAGCGCCGGTTCTTGTTGGCTTCTTTCAATTGCTTAAGTACGATACTAACAAAAATAACTAAGTAACTGGTAATAACTAAAAGTAACTAGTTTAATAAAAAATAATATACAAAATCAGTTGCATCGACTTGAGATAGAGCGTCGGTTCTACATAAAATTCGTTATCAGGGCGAATCAACAACGCTCGCAGAAGATCTTCAAAGCGCAACAACCGATGGATCTGACGCAAGTGCGCACGAAATTGCAAGGCTTCGGGATGCAATTACTCGACGGCATTGACCCGAATCCCGATAACTTCGTTTGTGCTGGAATTGTTCATATGAGGGCGCAACAAGTAGGTTGCCTGTTGCGTCTCGAACCTAATAAACAAGCGCAGGTAAGCTCATTTTGGATCCTCGAATGTTTGCAATACAATGACACATCGCGTTCTCGTTCAAACACGAAATTCTTATTCTTGCAGATGTTCCGTTTGACGGTCCGTTCAAGTAAAGAATCTATGTCGGTAGAGATCTGTGACCTGCTGGTGGATCAATTTTAAGCGGCCTAGCAGGCGTGAAATGTTGATGAGAAATAAATATCACGTCGTGAGAGGACACATATATTGTTACTGCGGGAGGATGTCATCTCGCGTCGTTCAGAAAGATACTGATGATTATTTGTTAAGAGATATTCGCGCGTTGTACCCAAGCTTACACTCACGACTCTCTTATGAGACCTATATCTTCGTGTAGGTAGTTTCGTGTCACCGTGTATCAGTTTGATCGAGAAAAGCAGTAGATGTGAGAATCAAGTCCACCGGAAGTCGTGCGAAAAGAACGAAGGACGTAAAGTGGCTATGATAGACAGTATTATCGCATAATCGAGGATAGTGAGGGTGCAGGTTTATACTCTAACGGATTCGCACTCTGTATTGTATGTTTACGGTTACGCGGATAAGTGCGACATGGGGAGAGCGAGAGAGAGAGAGAGAGAGAGAGAGAGAGAGAGAGAAAACTAGATATTTTAGCTGAACATGTACGTACATTATAGAAAAACCACTCGAGCCGCATCACAGAAACAAAGCATATATATATTTTTATTGAGTTTTACAATACACGAGTTTCCCTCTTTATCGTTGCGATCGATACAGCCCATAATATCGGAAATTTACTGTTGGTTCATCGAGGGTGAGACATCTCTTTGTACGTGAACGTCTCATTGTTACATCTTTTCATAGCCTATATCGTGATTTTCGTTCGGTTTCGCTAGTTGTGTTAGCATTGATACTTCGCCATAAGATTGCCGCGTGAGCGAGAGTATAGATTTGGGCACAATGACAATAGTTGTATGATACTAGCTGTTTATTATTATAGATATTCCAGTACAGCTTGGAGTCTCAAGTCCTGTTCCAATATTTTCACGTTTTCTACTTTAAAACTAACAAAAATAGAAGGAAAAGTTTTAATAAACATTGGTATTGAAACTGTCACTTTCTAAGATACAGCCTTATCTCTTGTTTAAAATGTTTCTCCACGGCAAATGTTTGAAATGACTACCATGGCAAAAGCCACACACGCGTCGATATATTGTATCAGTGATTGCATGTTTCAATATTCCAGGCTGTTTTCTTGTGAGATCGCAGGCATTTTATATATATTGCTGCAATTCTTGAACATTTTGCAATGAGATGGGTAGGGAGAGGGAAGGAGAGAGAGAGAGTGAGAGAGAGAGAGAGAGAGAGAGAGAGAGAGAATACCATAATTATAAAAATATATTAATATATAAGTATATATTACATATAATTATAATTATACATTAATATTATTAATTAATAATATTATAATTATATGACATAATATTTATTGATAATATAATATTTATTCATATAATTCATTCACGCTATAACTGAGAGGAGCTGTGTTTAAAGAAAAAGTGATAGCTTTGTAGGACTCATGTTTATTAGAACTTTTGTTAGTTTTGTGGTTCAGAATATGTCTGCGAATTTTTTGACAGGACTTCGGACTCACTCTGTATATTTAACGGAGCTGCAAATTAATTATTGTGTAATTAATAGTCTATATTTTATTGCTCCCTGTCATGAACTTGAGTTTAAGAACAATTTTCTAGATTTCTATATCGTCGACGTTAATGTATGAATCCATGGCTGGTCATTCCTACATTCGCGAAACGAAATTCCACGCGAAGTATGTTGTACACTCTCGATCGTACATCGTTGATTGAAGTCTAAATGTTTACGAGTTAGCGATTTGTAACTGTAGAGGTACGTTTCATCGTCTCCGGAATCTTACGTAAGATGTATATTTCAGTAGAGTACCATGTACAGGCAATATATCGCGGTGAAACCGACGCGTTTAAAACTTCGCGGAATGTGTTTTATAATATTAACGGTTGGAGCAGCTCTAAGTATGATTTAAATGTCGCTTTACGACGATCGTTGATGCGTTACCGATTTCGTAAGGCTTCACGTATAATTGTACATATGAAATCTGAATTAATTACAAATGGCTATAAACATTCACGAGACACGCAGATTGCACTACTCGTAGTCATACAAGCTCAAATTGTTTTCTTACTCGTCATTTATGCTTTATTATTCAGGGAACTAAGATGTATATTTTTCATATTCGTATAGTGTAAATCTATGTCTAATGCCCCTATTATATCCCCCCTCCCTTCCCCCCTCTTTCTTAGATTATGTATATTAGTCGTATTTTAATTAGTGATCGAGTCGAGAGAACACGGCGCTATCAGTTTTTTACTTCTCGATTTACTGTGCATATTAAGATTTTGTTATTATTTTTCTTCCTTCCTCCCTTTTTTAAGATTATACTCTATTTTACGATACCAGACGAGATGCCAAGTAATTGGATATTTTATCGTTATATAGATATACAATTGTAATCGTTGAATCATAAGCAATGTAAAGGAAAGCATGGGCGTTTTATATTTTTATCTCCCCTTCGTATTGAACATAGTTTTAGCAGAACGTTTTACGAACAGTGTGTGATATTTCTCTTGTTCTAAATTGTGTATTTCACCGTGTGTTTCAATCGAGTCTTTTGATAGTAGCACTAGAAGTCGAAGATTAAAGATACAATTTTGTAAATCGCTGTTAACGTAATAATTAGACATCTGATATTACAAACAGATCTTCTGCCATCACTAATCTAAATGTGATACAATTTTTGGTACTCTGCCTGTATATACGATGATTCCTTCAGCAATATTTTTTCTCCTTTTTTTTTTCTTATGATATCACAGTGAGTACTGTTTCCTAACAATATATTATTAGACATCTTGTAATTTTTACCAAACTTATTGCACGAAATAATCTACTTTCGTTGAATACCACCGTGAGTCTCACAGTGTGCATAGATTCGTAGCGTTTTATCGAACTTCGTTCTTTCGAATTTTGTGCAGCCGAAAGGACGAAAACAAACTGATTGACGTGCACCCTCGACTACTATTGACCGCCAGTCATGGATTTACATGGAAGACTAACGTTCGGTAAAATTATGCTTTCTTCTTGTCAAAGACAACCAACGAGATTTATAATAATGATGTCCCTTCGTCGCGTTCGTACGCGTAATTATACACGCACACACACACACACAGACACAGACATATATGTATATTTACACATATAAGATGAGAATCGTATTGCGCTTAGATTTAAAAGGCTCGGGTACGGTCTGACGATTTAAAATGAAGAAAGGCCATCAAAACATTGATATTGCACGAAACGAGTGCGTCATACTAATTAAACATGCTAGAAAAATTTCGTGCGNTATATATATATATATATATAAATAAAATAAATAATATATATACATATTATTATATTATATATATAATACACACACACATACACACGGGATGAGCCACTTAACTTTAAAAGCCTAAATATATGAAAAATAAAGCAAAATAGAAAGAAATATTCCGGACATTTCTTTCTATTTTGCATTATTTTTTATATATTTAGGCTCCTAAAGTTAAATGACTTATCTTGTATATAATATATAGTAATTATATATTATATATTTTTTGTAATATATTATATTGTGCGTGTATATAAATACACACGTGCGCACACATACACACACGCATATAGATACCTTCATATAAATACACGAATTATGATATTGAGAAATGTGTGGCGACACACGGTTGTTAGATTATTGCCGCGGCGGCGCCCTGATCAACGATCGCGATCGAAGCCGTCGACGCCAGTACGATTCGATTATTCGAATGCGGACGGGATATTTTCGCGATTCGAATATCTCGAATGGTACTGCCCGTGCGACTCGTTGTTAGCCTACTGTAGAATTTACGATTATTTGGCGAATTGAATACTCGCGGGATATTGATAAAGAGAAGATAGAAAAATAAATACCACTTCGTGTGTGCTTCGTTGCCGTTTTGTTTTGCGCCGTGTAGAGCCTACCGTCTCTTCTACTTCGGAATTGCTGCGATTTATTCGCAGATCATCCGAAGATACTCCGACATTCGGATATTCGAAACGTATTAGTCTTAAGAGTGATCTTCCGATTGCGAGAGAAGATTAAGATCAGGAGAGAGAGAGAGAGGGAGGGATATGCGCCGCGACATCCTGGAGCTCATCTAGGATGATCTCATCTTGTGCTATCTGGGATCATAATTGTCGAGATCGAATTGATATCAGTAAGTATCTCGATGGTATAAGTAAACAAAAATCTCTCGATAGTGTTAAAGAGCGAAACTCTATCGATCAATCATTTTATTCGTCTCGAGTCGCTTTTTCTCTTTCCTTTTTAATTATGGAATCAATATCGGTGACGATCGCCGTTATCCTTCGCGTCAAGGACAGTATTTATGTATTTTATATGTTTACGTTCAATCTTTATGCAAAACATCTGATCTCTCCGTCATATGCTAATTCGCATTTATTTTTGCCCTCTTCCGAGCCGCCAATCCCTGCGCAGATTAAATCGTGCAGAAGTTTTCATTCCTATTGGATTGATTCGGTATCGTTTAGCTCTATGTATATGTACGTCTGCAACATATTGATTTATATATTGTGAAACTATATATATATATGTGTGCCTACTTTGTCTGATTGTCTTTTGCTCTCTTTCTTGTTGCACGATAATTTACTTACGTTCATTCGAACACTGTCCGAATTTGCTTCGTTTCGTTCGATCCGATCGTCGGAGTCGTCGCGTCGGTGTGCCAAACGTCACGTTTCGGATGGGCAACATTTCACATCGGACAGAAGATGTTCCCGGCCATAAAGCCGTTACTATCGTATTTACTACAGCGTTCTCCACTCTCTCCACATTTGGCATGTAAAATCGGCCGTAACGCAAAAGTAGCCGACCGAGCACTCCCTCGTTTCCCTCTTTCTTCTTCTGTAGCCTCTTCGATGAAGACTGAAGTAAAACATGAAAATACTGTACACTCTTAATCTATCCGGACACTTTTATACCTTGCCTTCTCACCTGTACTTCAATTATCTAACTATATACCATCCTCTCATTACATGCGAGGGCAATAATATACCACAAAATCTAGGGCAATATAATTGCTATCAGTAACCGTAGCTTTAATTATCTTGGATAGCTTTGTATATATTTATGTCAAAATTACCAATGTCAATTGTTATGTTACATCAATCACTTTCCAAATATGTATTTCAGTTTCTTGAACGTATTAATTATTGCTACGCTTGAAGGGAATTTTCCTTTTCCCAGAGCGCCAAAGAAATAACGTTTCCTTTCTCTCTTTCACTCTCGCTCGCTCGTCGCTCTTTTTGTTTCAATTCCAAGCGAGTAAAGGTTGATGTTCACTATTCGTCTAGACAGCGGCGGAGAGGAAACCGTCCATCCTCCGTCAAAACATTTTTCAGTGCTCGATGCTAAAAATGACGGTAACGGCTACTGTGAATATTCCGGTGGAAAAGCATTGAAGAATATTTTGACGGAGGATCGACGGACGCTTACCTGCCGCCTTGTAAGCGGATAGTGCGAATCAACTCTTATGCCAGATGCGACGGTTACATCTACCATGAATATTCCGATACGCGAGTGCATTGAAAAATGTTTTGACAGATGCTGGAGTCTGCCGCAGTCTGCTGGACGGATACGAGAGAATCAACCTTGAGTCGATTCTCGTGTATTCAGAGAAAGAATTAGCCATAGGAGCTAAAATAAGGACGGCTATATATCGTTGCTGTCGCGCCTAAATTTATTAGCTGTTCGAATTAAGGCACTACAGCGAACAGTATAGTTGCAGCAAACTTTAATAGCTAATGTCATTGCTGCCACAACGGTAATAAATTTAAGAGCGGTAGCAACATTAACAATATTCTGGCTGCCGCAGCTAAATTCGTACTCCTACGGCTGATTCTTTCTCCGAACGTGGTGATTAATTTCACGCACCTGGGTATTTCAAATACTATCCGGATATCCGGGTGACTGGCTGCAGAAATACGCGGATTGCAGCACTAGTTATATTGACAGCGCTAGTCAGCCGTTATTACGCGGATGCGAAGACCGCAGCATCCGACCCTCGGTTCCCGGAGGGTTCAATGCCTCCTGTTTTAATGCTAATCGTTTGATTCCGATTCTGACCGTTATCGCAGCTATCGGTCACGGGCTACGCTCGTGAGAAGAGCGAACCGTTCGATTTGAAACGACGCTCATTACGCGACGTGGCGAATGGAAATTACTCGCGCGGCCGGTGCGCAGAAGTTCCCCCCGTTTTTAAGCTTGTCTT